GTTGTCTGGCTTTCACTCAATGGCCAATCAGCAGCTAGTGAACACCAGTGGTTTAGGACTTACCCCATCCCTATCCCTATTGTCCAGGTGGGACATGAGACTTTGACTTCAGTCTTTAGCATTGTTCTAACCAGTTGAGATGCTGTAGATCAACTTGGGATGGGTTGTGTTCCTAGCCATATTATTTGAAGAAAATAACTGCCTTCCTCCCAAACAGCTGTCGCAAATGAAAGGTAACCTGGCAGGGGCTTAAAAGCCATTAGACTCCGTTGACTTTTAAGATATTTTTCAAAAACAGTAATAAAAATGGTATTTGTCAAGTTCTCATTATTTATGAGACAGTTTAATATCCTCCAGAGGAAGGTTGCCCTGTTATGCCTCCTCACCAAGCTTGGAGTGATCACTGTAACTGGCCTCATAAGGTGGTGGTGAGGGCTCAAGGGTTTATGTGAGCAGAGCCCTTGGGCCACGTTGGGTGCATAGTGAGCCTCCAGTAAGCACCAGCTTTTATTCTTACTGGGAGGCACTGGCTGGCCCCTCCTAGACATCGTCATGTGATTCTTAGAACACACCTATGGGGTAGGGTATATCTCAGTTCTGCAGATAAGGAAACAGACCATACAGTTAGAAAACAGCAGAGTGGGGATGGCACTCAGGGCTGTCTGTCTCTTCAACTCTACACCATACCACTTTCCAAGATGACGAAAATAACCCAACTTTGAGAATGGGTCGAGTGTTTCAGGATAGAAATGAGTGTTTGACAACCTTTTTAAGTTTTGTTTTTTTTCACAGAGTATCAGGGTACCAATGTAGGGGGACGCAGCAGGAAACATGACTATGAATCAGTGGCCTGATAAAACAGCCAGGATGGGGCCCACGTCATTGTGAGGCTCAGCAATGTCATTGAAAACATCAGCTGCTTATTCCAGTATGGATTTCCCTTTAAGACATGAAAGGAGAGTTCAAAGAGAATAAATTCGATGGCTCAGAAAGCCACATTATTAAAATATATTTGTTTTTAATAGCCTTTTTGCTTCAGTGAGAATTATATTCTCATTAACATTATACCAAAAACTCACTTTTCACTAATTATTCCTAATTTATCCTCTGAATCAGGGTGTACAGGGTTATGTTCGAAATATAGGAAGAAAACTGTATTTCTTGCAGTGATCAAGACTTCTAAAATCAGTTCAATTCAGTAAACACTCACTGAGTCCTTTTCATGAGAAAATACTCCTCCAGAGACCACAATGAACAAGAATGGCCCCTGACTTCCAGGAATTACTGTCTCTAGAGCTGTGATGACCAGCATAGTAACCAGTGGAGTATGGCTTCCTCTTAGAGTAACATGTGGAAACAGCACCACCCTTCAGACTTGACATTTGAAGATGTGGATTCAGATTCTGCTCCTGACCTGTACCGACCTTGGGCAAGGCTGTTTCTCCCTCTGAAGCAAGACATTAGATCATAAAACCTCTCTGACTCCTGTCTAAATGCTCTGTGATGCTGTGAGTGAATTGGTAGAATACTCCATGTGTGTGTCATAACTCACCTCCGCTAAAAGAAACCACAAAGAAGAATTTCCATCTCCAAAATAACTTTTTCATTTTAGAAAGTTAATTTCAAATTCACTTTAATTTAAATTCAAATTAAATACTAAAATTCTATATATGCAGACCTAAACTTGCTAAACCGATTTATTTATTTATTTTAAGATTTTATTTTTAAGTAATCTCTACACCCAACACGGGGCTTGAACTCACAACCCCAAAATCAGGAGTCCCATGCTCCATCAACTGAACCAGCCAGGTGTTCCCAAACTGATCCTTTTTTTAAAAATGAGATTCTCCTATTACTCATTTTTGTAGAATAACCTCTCCCCAGAGGAAGCTTAAACATGTTTCTTTTTCTTTCTTTCTTTTTTTTAATGTACTCTAGCAGTTTAGTTTTGATGCGTCCTTGCCCAAGCAGGTTGCCAATTCTCTGTCCCCACAGTGTGCTATTAAGTACTGACAAATCCCGGGAGCCAGGCCCTTGGTCTTCAATTGTGGTGAAAGTCTATATTCCCCACCAAAAAAAACAAAACAAAACAAAACAAAAAAACCAAAACCAAAACCATGAAATAGCAAACCCTGTGTTATTCTGAGGAAGAAATAAACATGTATTAAGGACTTTCGGTGTCATGAGGTACTTAAGTCCTTTATCTCATTAAAGGACTAACCGGCATTAGACTGGGTGAAGTCTGTTTGCAAAAGAAGAGCTGGGTAAAGAGAATTTCCTGTTTTTCTTAGTTTTATGATATGTGACTATACTTACTGGCATTTTTTAAAGAAATTCCACTTCCATTTAGAACATCGATCTTCTTAGTATGGTGTCACTTAAGCCTTGGCCCTCTGTTATTTTCTCATTACCTGTGTTCCTCTTTCCCACATCAGCTAGAATGTTAACAGTTTCTTTTATTTTCTTTCTTTTTATGTAGAAGACTGAAAACATTACCTGGGACCTTGTCTCAGGATATGGAGCCTGAGGTGGGACAGTTTAGCTCCAGAGGCCCAAAGACCAAAGAGGGTGGGGTTTGCAGTCCTTTGTTGTTCAGACTCAGCTTCTCAGCACGGGGAGGCTTCTGGCTCACCCTCTGAGGCTGCCTGAGGGGGACTTAGCAGTGAGGGGGTGGGTGAAGGAATTGGGCTTGCTTGCTTCTTACCAGGTTGGCGGGAGCTCAGCCCTCTGAACAGCTCCTTATGACTTGTCCACCTTCCTCGCTTCTCTACTTCTCCTGGTATGAGTTGTGGGATCAAATGAACTAGGCTTTGACCCTAATCCACCACTTTGGGGAAGTGACTCAGCCTCTTGGAGCCTAAGTTCCCTGGGCTGCAAAGGGAGGATAAATAATAACTGTGCTACCCTATAGGACAGTTGGGAGCACGTGGAGGGTAGTGGAGCAGGCTGTACCCGTGCTCCTGATATGGAGAAGGGGGTGGGGAGAAGTCTGGGCCTCTGGCAGCTGGGGAGGCAATCCAGGGCCAGCCACATGCTAGCTGTATGACCTCTGGCAGGTCTCCTATAGTTCAGTTTCCTCTTCAGTAAACTGAGGATTCCAGGTAACTCACAGGCTCTGCGTGAGATAATGTGTTTCTTTAAGCCTGTATTACAACAGTCTTCTAACCAAGCTTCCTACTTCCCCTCCTGCCCCCACCAGTGATTGTTTAGAAACACAATTGGATCTCACATGTCCTACCCTTGCTTAAAACCCTCCACTGGATTCTTAGGGCCTTTTAGAATTTGCCTGGAAAGCTCCTGGTTTTAGCATGGAGAGCTTCATGTCCTAGGAAGCCCCTTGTTGATTGGTTACACTGCAAGTCCTGCAGGGCAACTGATGGGGTCGCCACCCACCTTCCTAGTGCTCACCTCTCACCGCTCACCTCTGGTTACTTCTGCTTCTCCCCACAGTGCAAAGACCTAAGGAGCATTCAGCACAGTGCTGACGCCCTGGCCCTGACTTTTGAGAGTCTGATTTCATTGTTTGGAGTGGGCCCTGAGAGTAGGTGTCTTTTTAAGGCTCCCCAGTGGTTCTAAGCACAGCCAAGGACAGGAAACTGCTCTCTTCTTACAGGTCTCCAGAAACCCCATGTGTTGTTCTCTGGGCTGGAGCTGACCTTCCCCCTGCTCTCTCCCCTTGGTAATTCCTTCTCATCCTCGTCCTACTCATGAGTCCCTTCCATCAGGCAGCCCTCCCACACTCCTTCAGGTAGACTTAGCTACTACTGATGGCTCCCAGACTACCCTGAGCTTGCTTTCATCAGAGCCCTGTCATTTTGCATTATGATTGTTGGTTCCTCCACACCTCTCCCTCATTAGGTCTAGAGTTTCTTTCAGGAAGAGATTTTATCTTTCCTCCTTATATCCCTGGAGCCAAGTAGGCTCTGGCACATTACAGGCCTTCAGTAAGTACTGGCTGAACAAATTAATCAAGACAAGGCCATCTGACCTCTTGTGAGTTACATTCTAAGAAAGAAACATTGACACAATAACCCTAGTGTATTATAGGAACAAGAGGTTAAGGGAAAACCAGATCCCAGGTAGTCTAATACTTTAACAAATCTATAGATTTATTGGACAACCCCCAATATTCAAATTAAAAGAAAATCTTAGTTTTGCTCTTCTGTAGATAATGATTTTTTTCTCTTCCAGTGGGGAGAAAGAAGACCTATTAAGAAATTCCTCATCCACCCACATTACCTGTCAGAACTGTAACTGGAAATTATTTCTCTGACTAAATCGTTTTGGTTCTCTGTTATTTTCTTTCTTCTTCCTTGCCCTTCCCTCAGCTGGCCACCATTGTGTGTTTGCAGAGAAGCAGGAAGGTTCACTGCTATGACTGCTTCTCTCTCTCTCCCTTTAAAACTCTATTGGCTTGGGGGCGCCTGGGTGGCTCAGTGGGTTAAGCCTCTGCCTTTGGCTCAGGTCATGGTCTCAGGGTCCTGGGATCGAGCCCCACATCAGGCTCTCTGCTCAGCAGGGAGCCTGCTTCCCCCTCTCTCTCTGCCTGCCTCTCCACCTACTTGTGATCTCTGTCTGTTAAATAAATAAAAAATATTAAAAAAAAAAAAAACTTTATCGGCTTGCTTTCTGATCTTCAAAGCAGCCTGTATCCAGCGTGACCCCACTCCCTTGCCTCCCCATGCTGGGGAGTGAGAGCTGGGAGTCTTTTTGTCATTTTGAAGACTTGCATATTTGGGCAGCCTCCAACAGCCCTCACTAAATCTGCAGGGGTGAGAGCAAGTTGGCGTTTGTAAGCCCCCTTTACCCCCAAATCTAGACATAAGGACAGAGTGACACCAGACCTCACAGTTGAGCAAACAGTAAGTTTCTAGATCTCCTTGCATTTGACCCATCCCCCCACCCCCAGAGCAGCAGCCCTTATCCCCTGCCCTTTTCCTGCAGTTGAGTCTTTGCTGTTGATGTTCTTCAATGCTCTCAATCTTTGTGATTATCCATAGTGCTTGATCCTGGATAAGTTTGAAAGCTATGATGATGAAATTCAGCTCACTCAACGAGCCCTGTCTCTGCTGGAAGAAAACAGGTTCTGGGCTGGTGTCGTGTTCCCTGACATGTATCCCTGGACCAGTGCCCTACCGCCCCACGTGAAGTACAAGATCCGGATGGACATCGATGTGGTGGAGAAAACCAATAAGATCAAAGACAGGTGATGTGTCAGGCAATCTCAAAGACGCTGTGCATCCCAGGAATGTATGTGGCAAGGAGCAGAGGCTCCTCTGGGCTCAGGTCTCCTTTTCCTTGTAGGGAGAGGAAGGTTACTTGGAAAGGCACAGAAACACTTGGGTATCTGAGAACTAAGCTCACGAACCAGTTGGCACTGTTAGTTGGTGGAACCAGGAGAGCTCATTTACCTTGTCATCATGCTCTCAATTTAGCACTTGTCCCTGGCTGGCCTTTGGGCAATTTAGAGATGGAAACCTCTAGGTATTGAATTATCTTCATGTAGATGTTCTGCAGATGAGGTTTCTCCAAAGTCACTGGGAAATTACATTTGGTACAGAGTGAGGGATTGAGACAGGACTCAGCCTAAAAATCAGTAAGATTAAGTTAAGAAGAGATAAGATATTTTATAAAGCTGATTGTAGAGTCCTTGAATTAAAGCCATTACAAGTAACAGTGGCCATTAGTCATAATTGAGATTTAAACTATGACTAGAAAATAGAATTGGTTTGGAACATTTTAGGGGAGAGGTTTCAAGAGTGAGTTTCGAGTCCCCTTGTGCTGTGAAGTGTCAGTTAGCTGCCATTCTTATTCACAACCATTGTCCCACCCTCTGGTTTCTCTGTAGGTACTGGGATTCTGGTCCCAGAGCTGATCCTGTGGAAGATTTCCGATACATCTGGGGAGGGTTTGCCTATCTGCAGGACATGATTGAACGGGGGATCACAAGGAGTCAGGCCCAGGTTGAGGTTCCAGTTGGAATCTATCTCCAGCAGATGCCTTACCCCTGCTTCGTGGATGACTCGTGAGTCAGAGGCTTCCAATCTCCCTCCCAGACACACTAATCAGGTTGCTGGGGTGGGATGGGAGTACTCCCCAGGCTTCAGTCTCTTTGGAAAGAAACCCAGGGAGTGGAGCCAGTTTGAAGTGAATGGAGCTCTGAATGATGAGCGGCTTCTCCCAGACCACAGGCAGGGCCAGATGGGCAAGGGAAGTGGCAGGGAGAAAGGAGTTGGTGTTGTGGGTGGGAAAGGGAAGGTGAAAATAAAAGCAAGGGAAGTGAGGTTGGGAAAGGGGACAAAGGCTTTTTAAGATTCCACTACGTAGTATGTTTGGTATGTGGAAGAGTTCTGGTCAGAGTGTTTGCCCAATGATTGCCAAATCAGCAAATTAGGACTCTGCATTGCAAGTAGGTCTGGTTCCTAGGAGCCTCAGAATAATGCAGCTCATTCCCTAATTAACATTCCCATGGTGCATGCTTAATGAGAAGGTAGAGGAATGTGTTGGATGAGCTGGAACCCTCCCTTCCTGCCCACCCCACCCCCAGTCTTATACATCTGTTGGCCAGTAGCAAGCTAAACAAATAGGCTACTATTTTCTCAAGGTGTTTTGGGGGGATATTAGAGAGAGGGACAGAGAAGAGCAGATTAGGTGGGCTCATTTACCATGGTGGATGGGGGCGGGAATACACCCAGGACAGGAGCCCAGACCTACAAGTGGCTTAGGGTTCAACCTCTAGGAAAAAACTGGGAAGTTCACCATAGTGCACATTGTGTCAGTAATGTTCAGGAAGGAGAGAAACACTCACGGCCTGAAGAAAGGAAAAGTTAAATTGCCACCTGACAAACAGTTAAGATAAAGCCCAGTATGTGCACAGGAAACCCTCCCTCCACACCCTAGTCCAATTGGTTCCCTTCCTCAAGTCTACCGAAGACTAAAGAGATAACAGCGGCTGTTCTGTAGTCAGTTTGGGTTTGGATGATAGAGATGGAATGTGGAGCCAGGGGCAAAAGCCCACTTCCATCTTTAGGATCAGAATGGGAGTATTTGGCAGGGTAGTGGGGTACACAATAAGGAGGCAGCGGGGAGTCTAGGCATTTAGACTGGGAGAGCCCTCTGGTGGCAGGTCCCAGAAGTGCAGGCCTTATGAATTTCTGGTTCTCTCCTTAAGGCCATCTTGAGAACCCTCCTGCCCTGGACTCAGCCCTTCCTGTGACAACCAACAATTTTTACTACATAATAATCCCAAGGGCTTTACTAGCACATCAGGCACAGAGGAAATATGTGTAAAGTTCACAGTGAAGTAATTCCAGAATATCAAATCTATCCTGCTTGCTAGAATGAATATCCATGGAATTCCTCTACTGGCACACGGCTGGTAGAGTTAGCCACGATTGGATCACTGATCAATTTATTGATGGGTTACTTGTCTTCTGAAAGTGCCACACTGAATAGTTATTTTGTGCCCCTTCCTGCATAACTTCGGTTTGATCCTCTGGGATAGATAGTGCTAAGGTGGCTGACGCCCCTGGGGGGCCCCACTGTTGCTCTTAGCACCAACACCAGTTCCCTTTGTTTGTGATTCGCCTTCTTGGACTTCAGTGTCAGTTGACCTGTATCTGTTCTAGTCACAACTGTATCAGGTTTTCAGTTCTTTCCCAAGAGATCTTGCAAGAAGGTCTATATTGTGTAACATATAGAGTACAATTTTATTTTGTGCATATAACCTGTAGAGCATTCATCTGGACTAACCAAAAAGCTACCCTCTTGCTCTGAGGAACAAGTAATCCTTCAGGGCAAAGTGCAGTGCATTCAAAGAGTCAAGCCCAGTGAATGCCCATGGGGATTTTTTGCCTTTCCCTCCATCTGGGCTTTGTTCTCAACACATCCAATCAACCAACATTTACTCCACCTCTACCAGGTACAGGGCATTCTACGATTCTGCTTCTCTCCTCTTGCTTCAGTTTTATGATCATCCTGAACCGCTGTTTCCCTATCTTCATGGTGCTGGCCTGGATCTACTCTGTCTCTATGACTGTAAAGAGCATCGTCTTGGAGAAGGAGTTGAGACTGAAGGAGACCTTGAAAAATCAGGGTGTCTCCAATGCAGTGATTTGGTGTACGTGGTTCCTGGACAGCTTCTCTATCATGTCAATGAGCATCTTCCTTCTGACCATATTTATCATGGTAAGCCAGATGGAGAAGGCCCAGAAAATCTTGAATAATATTGTACCTCCCATTTTTTCCTCCTGTTAATGAACTCATGCCTGCCTTAGTCATCTGGCCACCAAGGATGGCCTGACATGTAGCTAGCCAGCCATTTCAGCCAGTGTGGCCACATGCAGCTGCCCAGTCATTTCAGCCAAGGTGGAAAATATTCAGTGTCCCCGTCTGCCAGGAACCCTGGTATCATGGCATGTTCCCCACTCCCACTTCTTGCCCAGGGAGCCGCAGTCCGCATAGATGATCTAGCCCTATTCTGTGGACTATCTGGAGAAGCTGCTGTTAGGAGAGCCCAATACAGCGTGACTGTATGTGCAAAGGGTTCTCCCTTTCCAGGCAGAAAAGAAATGAGTACAAAGAGTGTTTTCCTGGGATTACTGTCTCAACCAGCAGATGAGGTTGGGATGTGAAGAGCCTTTTCATTATATTAGGAGAGCAGAACTAGACTGTTTATTCATTACCATCATGGTCACACCATTCATGGCTTGACCAAAGATGTTCTGCTGTCTGAAAAGTAGCCAAAGCATTTTAAAGAATAGAACTTAGAGTGTGTCTTTTCTCAGCGGTAGGAATTCTTGTAGCTGCAGGCAGCACACATAGGTCCATCATCTGCAAACCTGCAGCTCCCTCACAAGCTAGACTTGGAAATAAAACATTATTTCATAATATGTTCTTTCCCTCCATTTTTAGTTCCTCCACAGTAGATGATCTTTTATACTTGTTAGATGACAAGTTCATAAATTTGGGTAGCTTTTAATATTTATTTGATGGGATTTGGTATAAACATCAGACTTTAGGCTTTGCATGTTCCTGTTATGATATTACCAAGCTTGTTTCATTTTTCTACAATAATCATATTAAGTGCCCCTCTACACTGAGCAATATGTGTGCTGAACCATAGACTCTCGCTAAGGGTGTGTTTCATCCCATGCTGGACCATACTAGTGCCAGGAATGTTCCGTCACATATCCTGTCCATCCAGCAGATATTCAGTTAAACCAGATCCTACCCCATCTCTTTGCAGTAAGATGTACTAATTCAGAAGGGATTTGTTTTCAGCCTTAGTCAAACCCTGTGCTAGAGCCCTATCAAAACCAATGCTGATAGAGAGATCATTCTGCTCAAGCAAACTAGCTTTAAATTTGCAGGGTCCTTGAGATCCACGAAGATGGGGGGAGAAGCTGTGTTCCTTGTGTTCTTCTAGGGCTCCTTTATTCCTTCCCATCCTTCAGTCTGCCCCTTTTCCCATTTCCAAGATGTTTTGTGCCCTCCTAATTAAAGGAGTCAAAATGCTAAGTGTCTGACTTATGCAAAGTGCATAAACATGTATGATATCTTTAAATGTCTGTTCAGTGACATTGGATCTGCCTTCCTAAGAATGGGCATTAAGACTTCAAAGCTTTTAGGACGTAAGGTAAAGAATGTTCACCAATAGTTTCTTGCACAAAGGGGTTTCTCCTTATGGGAACCAGAATATTGTTCCAGGGATGACGGAAACAGAGCTTTGCACACAAAATAGGATTCCTTAGAATGACGCTCCCATCTTTGCCTTGTCCTTCCTTCCCACCTCAACAATGCAGGAAAGAAGCTGGAAGCTAGGACAATGGGAAGGTTCCAGTTATTCAGGCTGTTAGGAACAGAAAAGAAAAGTGGTCATTAGAGGAAGCCAAGGCCTGTGAGGCTATTGGGTCAGCCCAGTGATTTTCTTTAATCTCTGCCTGAAGTCATTGAGAAACTGTATGGGCCTAGAAGCTTGTGGGACTTTGTTTTGAGCTGGGATAAGAAACGGATTTTATTCTTCTGAGAATACCAACAACCATCTTAAAGTTCTTCCAACCATAGTCAGGTATTCAGCTGTGGGCTTACTTTTACTGGGCTGTGTGATTAAGTAAAAGGAGTGAGCTTTCCAGGGTGATGTGGAGAGCTCTTTGACACACAAAGCCAGGAGCTCTGAGTCCTAATTTTGATTTTCATAAAGAGTCCCTCAGAGTTTGGTTCTAGTTAAGCATAGCCCTCTTCCACCCTCCTTTGTCATTTGTTTTATTCTATTTTTCAGTCTGTTCCGTTTGTGCCTGGCAGGTACAAGAGTGTGAATGAGGGAGAAAGAGTAGCAATGGCAGACAGGTGACACATTTGTTCCTCTCAGCTCTTGCACATGCATGACAGATAGCGCTCATTGTCTCTCTTTTCTATTAAGAACCCGGTGCTTTAGGACACTACTAACAATTGATTAGAACCCATTCAAGAGATGAATCTATGTGTACTTTTATGTTCCCAAGAAAAGAACAAGATGATCTATATGTATTTGGAGTTCTGCGCAAAGGGTAAAATTCCTCATAGGAGGTCTGTGTAGTAAAGAAGGACCAAGAAGGCCTAATAAATTTGAACATTTCAGTGTATCCTGTAATGGAAGTGGGCAGCAGCTCACTTAGTGAAAATTGCTAATTTGGTCGTATTTTCTACATAGCCAAAGTGATTGACTCATGAGTTAATAATGTCCAAGATACTGAATATTGCCCCAGGTTCTATGTATTTGTATGATAGTGACAAAGGGGGAGGATTAATCTACTTTCAAGTGATATGGATTAACTGCTGATATTTTCACTATTGTGAGTGGTAAATCTCAGAATATAACTATACATGATTGAGTCAGCAGGCCAGACCTTAATTAAAGCAAAATGTTACAGATTGTTAGGGGAGTCTCCTACCTCCCTTTTTGTCCCTCATCTACTCAGTGCTGATACTCATACTGATTACTCAAGCTGATAGGCAGCCTAATGTGTTGCCCTCCCAGGGAGACTAGTACTCAGAGGAGTAAAAGACACTCAGAGTGTCCCCGTCTGCCAGGAACCCCGGTATCATGGCATGTTCCCCACTCCCACTTCCTGCCCAGGGAGCCACGGTCCACATAGATGATCTAGCCCTATTCTGTGGACTATCTGGAGAAGCTGCTGTTAGGAGAGCCCAATACAGCATGACTGTATGTGCAAAGGGTTCTCCCTTTCCAGGCAGAAAAGAAATGATTCAGCATTGAGTCTCAACTGTGGAAATTTGGCACCCACGAGAGACGGTGGGAGAGATCACTCTGGAGTAGAAGGCTTCTGAAGGCCCAGAATCACAGCACAGAGGTTGCCCCCTGGGAGGAATGTGTCCTGGATACAGGTGGAAAGTACTGACTCAGAAGGTCTCTTTGGTTTCAGCATGGAAGGATCCTGCATTACAGTGATCCATTCATCCTCTTCCTATTCCTGTTGGCTTTCTCCACGGCCACGATCATGCAGTGCTTCCTGCTCAGCACCTTCTTCTCCAGGGCCAGCCTGGCAGCCGCCTGCAGTGGAGTCATCTACTTCACCCTCTACCTGCCCCACATTCTCTGCTTCACCTGGCAGGACCGGATGACGGCTGACCTCAAGATGGCTGTGGTGAGGGACCTCAGGCTTGCTCCTGCTATGCGAAATGTTTTCACAAAGGCATCTGTAGTCATTCTGGAAAACTGGCCTGCCCTTTGTGGGGATCCACTTTGCCTTGTGGGCCCAAAGGACATAAGGTATAAAAAGGCACAGGGGCAAAAGTTGGGGCTCTCTTCATCCCGAGCTACCCAGCAGCCCCTCCTTTCCAAACCTGCCTGATGAGTCTGTCCTGGGAAGCAATCAAAAACCAGTTTAACTCACGGGTCTTTTGTGTTCCCACAAGAGGGAAACAGCCTGGGACATTTCATTCACTTTTCTTTTTGAAGCATGTGAGAAGATGCAGAGGGAAGGGAGCGTGCCCCCAACTGTTCAGGGCAGAGAGATGTTTCCATTCATTAAAAGAGTTTGTTTCTCTCCATAAAAAACCTGAATCCAGTAGTTTACAGGGGGTCTTTGTCACGCTGTATTACTATATGCAGAAAGGAGTACAGAAATGAACCAGTTAGGAGCCAAGCCCTCTTGCCAGGAGAGGACTCTAGAGATTGACTTTTGATTGTTTGAGAGACAGACATCTTGGTTCACAATTCCCAAACTAACATCACTGTCTTTTTCTCTAATCAGTTTCAAATAGGCCATTTCCACCCTCTTCATTAACCAGGCTTAACTGGCTTCTGGGTTCCCCAGGGTGCAGCTTTCCTTGTCCTCCAGAGCTTCCCTCTACAGTTCTTTATGCAGTGGTGTCAAGAAAAGACTACCACCTGCTTCTTATTGGGAAAGAGCTAAGATATAAGCTGCTCTAATAACCCAAACTGATTTGGCTACAGAGCTACCAGGGCATCTGCCTTTTATTTCCCATGTTAAACAAGAAATCAATTGCTGCTATTTATAACACCAGTTTTCTAAGACGATCACAATGGGCTGGTAGCAAAAAAATCCTTACGACTCAGCCTATGGACAGAACTGGGCTAACTTAATATCCTGGATAGATATCAGTACTTTGAGGCCACAGCTAGCTTCATGGGAGTGTGGATCCACCAAGAAACTATAGTTCTGGCAGTGTGTGGACCGGGACTGAGCTGAGACTTTTTAAAATGGCTTTTGTGAATATACAGCTGGGGAATCTCTTCCTTCTCTAGACAGTTTGAACCCCACCCTGGGTCCTACAAAGTGCAGAGAGACCTCTGAGCAGAGGAAATGAGAATAGCCAATTGCTCTTTCTGCCATGCTGGTGACCACCTGTGGGGACTTGGCTGGGGGCCCTCCTCTTCAAACTCCTTTTGCACACCACCTGTTTAGTTGACTTGTTCTTTCTACCGAAAACCCAAGGAAAAGATTGGTCTCAGTATGGAGAGGAGAAAAGATGACATCAGTGGAATCTGAGGTTCTTCTGGCCTCACTCTTAGACCTTAGGAGGTCATAGGACCATCCCTTGCCTGGCACCCTAAGACACTAATGACTTTGTGGACCCTTCTAAAGGGAGTCACACAAAATAGCTCAAGTTATCTTCTTTGTTCTATCAAGAACTGTGTGATCTCAAGAAAGAGGTAGGAAGAAGGGGGAAATGGTAGGAAGGTAAACCTGAGCACCTTTGGTCCTTTGGTACGTTGTGCTTTTGTGGTGTTTGTTTTTCCTGTTACACGACTATACTCCATTGAACAGATGGGAGGTGGCTTCATGAGTATTGTGTGAGGTCCCTGGGCATTTCCAGAATTCCCTTTCTTGGAAAACTGCCTTATGCCCTCCCTGGGTTATCCTTATACCTGGACACAAGCTGGACCACTCTTTTGGCCCTCGCCCCTACCCTGTGGACAGCTGGGTGCTGGTGGGTGGGGTGAAAGTCCACTGTTCATCTAGTGTGCCCTCTTTGCCTCGCTGCAGAGCCTGCTGTCTCCTGTGGCATTTGGGTTTGGCACTGAGTACCTGGCTCGCTTTGAGGAGCAAGGCCTGGGGCTGCAGTGGAGCAATATTGGGAGAAGTCCCATGGAAGGGGATGAATTCAGTTTCCTGATGTCCATGAAGATGATGCTCCTCGATGCTGCTCTATATGGCCTGCTTGCCTGGTACCTTGACCAGGTGTTTCCAGGTAAGGGTCAACTCCCATAGGGTAAAGGTACTGATATTGGGTTCCTCAGATCCCCAGCCTTCCCTCACCTTTCATCTAGTTTAAATCTTATCCTTTCTAAGCTCTTTCAATTTGGGCCTTCAGAGCCAGCATTTGAAACTTAAGTGTAAGTCAAAAATCCATCAGTGAGTGCTGGTGTCTCTACTTTAGAAATAGGTCCAGAATCTGATCCCTTGTCACCACCTCCACCACTACCATCCCAGTCCAAGCCTCTTTCCATAATCATTGCCTGCCAGTCTGTTCTCCACACTGTGTTCAGTGATCCTTTCCGAAGCTGGGTCAGATGATATCTATCTTCTGTTCGCATCCCTGCGGTGGCTTTTCCTCTTGTTCAGAGGAAAACCCAGTGTCCCAGTTCTGGCCTATAAGATGCTTCATTATCAGCAGCCAACTAACTGTCTTCCTCATTTCATGTCTTTCCCTTCTCCCTCATGTTCTCTGCCCCAGCCACATCCACCTTCTCACTGACTGTTCTTCAATACACTCAGTGCATTTCCTCCTCAGGACATTTGTACCTGTGCTCACTGCCTGCAGCATGTTTCTGCATCCCTCATACCTGCAGGCTTACTTCCTCGCTTCTGTTCAGGTCTAAGTTCAGATGTCACCATGTCACTGGGATCTTTCCAGATTGCAAGTATCTAAATAGCTACCCGTATATAAATCACAGTCCTTCAGTGCTTAGACATAAGCACTTTATGTTTGCGACATCACTATCTGACATGACATATCTTTACTTGTTTGCATGTTGACTCTCTACCCCATGAGAGCAGGCCCAGTCTGTTTTGTTTAATATTATAGGCTTGATGCCACAAGTAGTGCCTGACTTTTGGTGGACATTGAATAAATACCTGACTAATCTGCAGCATTGAAAAGCAACTCCTGAATCAAAGTTGGGTGTTCACATAGTTTCATATTTGCTTTGTAGAAATCAGATTTTCCTTTGGATTAGTATTTCCTGGTAACTAGAGAAGTCCCACTTCCATCTGAGTGGGCTCCAAGTCAACCAACAACCATCTTTTGCTGTGGCAGCCGTGGCCAGGAGCAGGCAGGGGAGGGTGAGGCTGGGTCCAGTCCCTGGGGAGGGATGAACTCACATCATCTTGAGGCAGCCTTTTTTGGGAGAAATATACAGGCAGCAACCCTGGAATAGGAAAAAGATTGCTAGGCTGAGCCAGGAGGCCGGGTTTGGGTCCTAGCCGTGTGATTATATTAGTTTCCTAGGGCTGCCATAACAAAGCACGACAAACTGGGTAGCTTAAAACACCATTTTTTGGGGGGGGGGGTCTCAGTTCTAGAGGCTAGAACTAGAAAATCAAGGTTTTGGGAGGGCCATGCTCTCTCTGGAATCTGCAGGGGAAGGAGCCCTCCCTGCCTCTTTCAGCTTCTGGTGGTTTTTCAACAAGCTCTGTCTTCACCCGGTGTTCTCCCTGTGCACGTATGTCTGTCTGCACACAGCCATCTTTCTATAAGAACACCCGGTCAGATTGGATTAGGCTCCCATGTAGTCTGGAGTGACTTAATCTCAACTAAGCACATTAGCAATAACTATTTCCAAACAAGGCCAAGGGTTAGGACTCTGGTGTCTTTTTTTTTCTGATACCAAATGTGTCAACCACCCTCCCCCCCAACATCAGCTATTTCTCTAATGGCAACCAGGTGTCCAACAATCAATTCAGTTCTACCCCGTTCAGTAACCCCCCAGAATTAACACAGACCCCACAGAAAGATTCAGCCCTACAAGACTGTTCCCACTTCAGGGGCCAGATGCAAATACAGTGCCCAGGCTACCCACGCTTTTGTCAGACTGACTACAAATTCAGGAGTTCTCATGGCCACCACCCCCTGATTTAGTAATTCACTAGAACGACTCACAGAACTCAGGAAAGTAGTCTACCTGCAGTTACAGTTTATAAAAAAGAATACAGCTCAGGAGCAGCCAAATGGAAGAGATGCATAAAGGGGGCAGGAGGGGTGGTGCCTGGAGCTTTCAAGTGCACTACCCTCCCAGGACCTTGATGTGCTCAGCAACCTGGAAGCTCCCTGAATCTCATTCCAGAGTTTTTATGACTCATTCTCCAGCCCCCTTCTCCTCCCTCAAGATGAAGGGTGGGGCTGAAAGTTTCCATCCTCTTTTCCCAGGTCTGGTCTGGTGACCAGCCCCATCCTGAAGCTATCTAGGGACCCTCCCCTGAGTCACCTCATTAGCATAAATTCAGGTATGGTTGAAAAAGGGGCTCAGCTCCTTGTGAACAACAAAAGACATTCCCATCACTCAGGGAATCCCAGGGGTTTTATAAGCTGTGTGCTGGGAACTGGGGACAAGACCATGTATTATTTTGCATTCTTCCATGGGCCTCAACATATCTTTTTGATGATTTTTGGGGGGGCGGACACAATTCAACCCATAATGCTGATTTTGAGCAATACATTTGACCCTGCTTTCCGTCAGCTTTTCTATCTTACTATGCCACTAGAAGGAGATACAATAAGTGAAAATTAGTTGGATTGAAAATGCAATTTGTCTATAATTCAAGAGCTTTATTTTAGCCAAGTTAAAGCTTTAATTTGTCCAGTTACTATTTACTGAGCAGAACCTGTATGTGAGGCTTAGCACTAGTTTTAGGGAAAAAAGGGATGAAAAAGACAGACCCAAACCTGTCCTTGAAGGTCTGACAGTCTGGTGGCCATGGAACATGGGATAATATTAAATAAGCTAAGATAGTGTGTTCTCACAAAATTAACATTTTATAGGGAGCAAAGTTTGCAAAGAGAGCTAGACAAGAAATTTGGGAGTCTTTTCCTTGGGATCCAGTAGAATGGGGTGGTTGAGATCAGGGATATTAAAACGAGATTACCCATTTCAGTATCTCTCTCTGTTTAATTAGCTGTGACCTTGGGCAGATGACTCAAAGTCAATGTGCCTCTGTTTCCTTATCCACAAGAATACTACTACCTATCTCTTAGGGTTGTTTTGAGGATTAAATTTTTAACTCATGAGACGTGCTTACAATATAATGCCTACCATGGAAAGAGCATCCAACAAATGTTAGTGACAATCATCACCATTATTATTATCTGGTAATTGTTAAGAAAGGGCATGACTAAATTCTTTTTTTTTTTAATTTTTTTAAAGATTTTATTTATTTGACAGAGAGAGATCACAAGTAGGCAGAGAGGCGGGCAGAGAAAGAGGAAGGGGGAAGCAGGCTCCCTGCTGAGCAGAGAGCCCGATGTAGGGCTCGATCTCAGGACCCCAGGATCATGACCCGAGCCGAAGGGAGAGGCCCAACCCACTGAGCCACCCAGGCGCCCTTAAATTCTTTAATAAAATATTTTTTTGGAAAGCTCTTGCACTCAAAAAAAGTGACTTTTAAATTAAAACACGTTGGAAAGAGTAGTCTTTGTGTCGTAGCCCATGGATAGCTATGTAATGCTTATGAACTATGGATATCTATAGCTATACTCTGAAGTTCAAATAGAAAAATTCTCGATTTTGTAGAGCTGTAGTAGGACTACCAAAGCTTTTTCCTTATTTCCCTGTCATTTCTAGGGGACTATGGAACCCCTCTTCCTTGGTACTTCCTTCTACAAGAGTCCTATTGGCTTGGCGGTGAAGGTGAGTTATTTAAAATTTTTCAATTAAAAACAACGCTCCCCTCCCAAAACCTTTGGTGTTTGAAACTAGCTCCTTTGGCTATGTTCTGGATATGTGTGGGCTGTAGAGGGGGCTCCTGATATCAAGTGTGTGGTTCCGGCCACTGTGGTGCAGTATCGTAGCCTCTGGGAACCCACTTTCTGTAAGTCACTAGGCCAGGGCGAATGGCTGAGCTCTGATAAACCCTTGTTTCCCATACAGCTTGTGCCCAGTGGATGAAATTGCCCTTGTGAAAGAAGGCCAAACCAGTTTAGGGTGTAAATGACTTTTGCAACTCCTCAATTTAAAACAGAGATCTGCAGAATCACGAAGGAACCTTTGCACTGGTCTTCTTATGCCTCCTCTCCTGCTTTTTTATTCCTTTTCAAAATATAAATTAATTCATTCTCCTAAGGTGAAGGCCCATCCAGAGGCTGGAGCAGAGCTATGACCTTCAAGGCAAACACTCTTAGACTCTCCTAAAATTCATCTTACTTTGTGATTGGGGAAGAGGGCCAAGGGGCATTTGCCCAGAATCCTTCTTAGATCAAATTTACCTTTCCTATTAAACAGGACAGGAGGCCCAGGAAGAGCTCTAAAAGCTCTATAGACTCTATTGTGACATATGAGCAAGCAAGAAATTCCTGACCTGAGAGCTGGGGACTTCCTTGGAGCTGGGAGTTTCTGGAAGCAAAGGAAATACTTTCCAATCTGTTTGTTCCTCACTTACCTACCCTTTACTTTGTATTTTTGGATCTGGGCCAGGATTTATCCCTTAAGCACTAAGATAGAGGTTTGTTTTCTCTAGGGGGTTAGCCTAGGGCCTTTAAAAGTCTTGGGCAGTTTGTTTTGCTTTGTTTTGTATTTGTGTTTCAAACAAATAGTACTTTGACAGCTCAGTATTTTTCCATTATGTTGGTTTGCCTGTCTTTATGTTGGTTTGCCTGTCTTTGTCTATGAACTTTTAAAATTTCAACTACAGTAAGGTTATAATCCAATGGGGATTTTCAACAGGGGAATATGTTTTTGGAATATTTCTAATTTCAACGAATATCAGTACTTGTGGACATTTCCCCCCCCCTATAATCTCAGCAGATAATCTGCCTCTCAAAAGAGAAATTCTTAAAACAAATGTGCTCTTTCAAAAATGAATCACATATATTTTTGCCAACAGAAGCCAAATATTTTTCTCCTGCCTCACAGGCTAGAATGAAATAGATTCCTAAATCTCTCTAAAACCAAAAAAGAGGGGCACCTGGGTGGCTCAGTGGGTTAAGTGTCTGACTCTTAGTTTTGGGGCTCAGGTTGTGATGTCAACGGTCCTGAGATGGAATGCTCCATCAGGCTCCACACTGCGCATGGAGCCTGCTTCAGATTCTCTCTCTCTCCCTCTCCCTCTGTCCCCCAGGCCCTCCCCCAACACTTGCATGCACATGTGCTCTCTCTTTCTAAAAAAATAAATAAAATCAGAAAACAACTGAGTTTCCTCACCTAACCCCCTCCTCTCACATACGAAGAAATGGAGCCCAAGAGGACGAATGTCTTGTCCATGTTCCTGCTGCTCATTTGGGACGAAAACCTGAAACTGGGAAACACATTTCCTGGCAAGGAACTCATCCCATGACTAAACTATGTAGAATATTTTCCCCTGCTATTTTGTTGCATGTCCATGCAGTAGGAGAGCTAGTAAAGTGATCAAAGGCATTGTGGGCAGTAGAGTTGAAAATCCTTCAGGAGTCAGAAATAGAAGTGCCAGAGGTGGCAGGTCCCTGACCACGAGGCCCATTCCTTGCTGCTCCACCTTCAGCCTGCAGATCTACAGAGGGCAGCCAGGGGTGAGGGAGGCCCTGGTGGGCTGCCTCATTAAAAAACTCCCCCTGCCCACATCTGTGCTCTGGAGGCCAGAGCCTTTAGATGCGTGGTGACAGTGGTTTCCTCCAGCCCCTGCTTTCTTCTCTTGCTGGCTCCTTCCTCTGCTTCTCTTCCCCTTCCAGGATGTCCTGATGTTCTTTTAAACCAAATGCCAAGTTTATTAGAAAAACAAACAACAACAAAAAAAAACGACCTGTGTGTGTGTGTGTACGTGTGTGTGTGTTTTCACCACACTTGACAATTTATATAAGCCTCTACCTCAACCAGGCTCACTTCTGGTGTTAGTCACAGAAGACTCGAGTGCCCATAAAAATGCTCAGGTAAATTTTGTCTCAATCAGTAATTTAAGCTGGCCATCCGTCATATCAACTTGAATGAGCTTTTCTCAAGGCTCACCATGACCTTGACATGTTTTTTATTGGAGCAAGAAGTACTGTTAGTGAAGAAAATTAACCCATTGCAAACTCAGTCCTGGTTTTGTGAATATTTTTTAAAGTTATAATTTCTGACATTGTGGGCCTTTGCTGGCATGTTAAGAGGATGAGGTGAAACACCTGTTATAAAACTCCATCTGGGCTCAGCAAAGCTTGATAAGCCAGCTAGCCAGGAGGCACTGGCAGCCATTTTCAGGACTTTACAGGCCCACAGGTCAGTGAGCGGCAGGACCAGGTTTGGGTCTGGTCCCCTGGAATGCTGACTTGGCCTTTTGAGGGAACTGTGCTTTCCAGTTGTGGTAAGAAACTCTGCCACCCCTGCCTTCTCCCCCTCCTTTTCCTGCCTTTACTGATTGTTAGCTCTCACCAAGAGTAACAGTGGCTTCTGGTTGGTGCAGCGTGTTCTACTAGAGAAGAAAGGGCCCTGGAAAAGACGGAACCCATAACAGAGGAAATGGAGGATCCGGGACACCCAGAAGGAATAAATGGTAAAACAAACAAACAAACAAACCCTCAGTAAAGAACACAGAGCAGAGGCAAGGAGGAGGTGCAGAGTACTGTAAAGGATGGAACAATACACTTCATGACTGGGGTGCCGTGGACCCCAGGAAACTGACTGTTGACAGGAGTTAAACCTGATAGCTTCTCAAGGGCCAAGCCGCACGTGTGGGGAATGAATGGTCCAGCCAGACATTAACGCATATTTCCTGGAGAAAGCAAATCCCAAGTATGTGGTGTGTTTGTGCCCTTGTTAGGCAAGTCCCGAGTGAGTTGCACAAATATGCTGACTTCCGAGGATTTAGCAAGAACAATAACTTGGGTCACTGGGACTTAAAGCGGATATGAGCTATAAGGAAAGACAAAAATAAATGCTTCTGTGCAGAGGAGGAAGGAGTCTAGGGGAGCTGACTACACTTCATTCGTGGTTTACAAATCTACAAATCCATTCATTCAAACCATCAAAAGCCTTTCCTGACGTGGAAGTTACCTAATAATTCCTGAAGTGATGGATTAGGTCTACAAGTGTTCCCTGGCTTTGCCTTCCTTACCTTCTCTCCTAGACCAGTTCTGTACTTCTCCCCATGTTCTTCCTTCCCTAAGCATGTGTACTTCTCTGTAAATGCTAAAATGCCCTTGCTGTCCTCTCCTCTGGACTTTGCCTACCACTGTGTGAGAGGGCCCAGCCTCCAGGCCTCTGGGCCAACCTGGTGCCATTTCACAAAGCTGAGTTCAGTGACCTCTGGCTCCTTGGAGAGCTGGTCTGCAGTCAAAAGGGCCTCTGGGATGGCCCTCCTCCCAGAGTGGAATTCCAAGGCCAAAATCAGAGGGCTGGTCCCATCTTAGTTACAGGAAAGACCAGATGGCACACATAGGAGAAGGATGTTGTTTTGCAAGGGAGTCAATGTTACAGAGCTACAATGTTAACAAAGTAAGTGGTACTGTACAGAGTGTACTCAAGCAGAGGGGGACTGGAAGTTGGGAGAAGTAGACAGCACGGTCATGAGGGTCTGTACTGGAAAGGCATGGATGAGTTAGAGGATTGGAGTTCGAGGGACAGTGATGAGAAAGAGTGGACCATCCTACTCAGTAACTGAGAAACTCTCAAGTTCTAAGGAGCAGGAAGTCCCCTTTAGACAAAATTAACACAAGAGCTTGAGCCAAGGTGACCAGGAAAAGAACAGTTACAGGAATGGACATGGGAGAGTCTGAGGGAAAGTTGTTTTGGGAGGAAGATAAGGAGCCTGAGCAGCTACCAGAAGCCCATGAGGATATACCCTACAGACTGTTGGAAATGACAGCCTGAACTGAAGATTGAGCTTCGGGCTAACTCTCCGTATATAAGGTGAGTGCACTCTGGGTCAAATTCCAGCTGTGCCTTTCATGAGCTGCATGACCTTGATTGGATATTTGACGTCTCTGTGCCTTAGGTTTCCCCAGCTATAAAGGTGGGCATAATAACATCTATCCGCATAGAGCTGCTATAAGGGTTAAATGAGGTAATCCATATGAAGCACTTAAACAACACCTGGCACATAGTAACTGCTCAGTAAATGTTAGGTACTATTATTACCATGATTATTTTGTAGTCGTCCTTACAAAGGTCCCACCTAAAGTCATGGGGCCAAAAGACAGTGGTCTGGAGATCGAGCCTTGAAGGATGTGTACATTAAAGCATTATATTTACATCATGTTCATTTTTTTCCTCCAAGATTCCTTCTTTGAACGTGAACTTCCAGGCTTGGTTCCTGGGGTGTGTGTGAAAAATCTGGTGAAGATTTTTGATACCTACAGCAGACCAGCTGTGGACCGTCTTAACATTACCTTCTATGAGAACCAGATCACAGCATTCTTGGGTCACAATGGAGCAGGAAAGACCACCACCTTGTGAGTTTTCAGGCAAAGAGCCTGGATTGCTCTTCTGTCCTATCATTTTCTGGCTCGTTCTGCCTCATTAGCTGCAGTCTACTCTTTTCCATCGAGTGTTAGTGACAAAAATGTACTATGTATTTGTGTCTGAAGAATGTGTAAAGCACACTGCAGGATTCAGAGCTCATTCATGTATGTTGTTTTATTTGATCCTCACAAGAAGTGGGAGAGGGAGTTGAAGTGAGTTTACTGCCCCCTTTGTGTGCTGGGAAAGTGGACATCTAGAGAGTAGAACTGACTTTCTGGGGTCATCGACTTGAGGGCAAGAGGCAGGTTTTTTCAGCTGTCTGGTCTCTCACACTGTAAGCCTGTCCGCACATCCCACCCTCTCCAGAGTTACCACCATCAGTGATGGTGCTAAAGTCACAGCCATCACCATCACATGCCCTTGGTCCATAGAGAACTACTTATTTTCAAAGAGGATTCTTTACCTACCTGTTTTGGAGAAAGTAAAAAGGGTGTGCTCGATAGAGGGGCCTGTGAGGTAACACCCGGCAACTGAAGATAAAGTTCAGGAAGGTGCAAGCTCTGCGCAGAAAGGTCTGGAAGCTCCCCTAGCTTTTTAAGGGCCCAGAGCGCCATCTGCTGAGAAGGAGAACATGGCTAGCTAAGGTGTCCTAAGGAGCAGAAGAGGCAGCCCTCTCAAGGGGCAGGGAAATCCTGTGTTACACGGTCTTCCAGTCCTATGACCTCTTCCAGAGCGCCAGGAAGGAACAGCAGTATACACCCTACGTTGGAATGTTCTCTGAGGGAGGTTCAGTGTGAATGGAATGTGGGGCTGGTGCCATTACATTTGGTTCTGTTTCCCTCTAGCGGTTGATCAACAGAGATTTCAGCTTCTAAGTACAAGTTCAGGTAACTTGAGATTGTATCTTAACTCAGGGAGGGAGCTGGCTGGGCCAGGCAGCGCTAAATTCAACTGACTGCTCACCTTGTTGACTGATACCGTCAGAAGGCCCAGAGCACCACCCAAGACCTCGGGGCTTCTCACGGCGAGCACAGTACTGCATCAACTGCTCAAATGCCACTTCCCCTGGGGCCTGAAACACACTGTTCAGTAAGAACAGTCCTAATACTTTCGAGTTTTACTTTATGCTGGCCTGGCATGGTTCTCAGTGCTTTACAAGTATAAACTCATTTAACCCTCACAACAAACCCATGAGGTGTGGGCACCATTATTTCCCATTTTACAAAAAAAAAAGGCCAAAGTGGATATCGAGCTTTTTGTTTTGAATCCAGAAATGATATTGTTGGTGGTAATTCCTCTGCCTGCCTTCAATCACTTCATCAACAAATACGTATTGAAGGACTGAGCTGTCATTAAGACCCTCCACTATGCTTCATAATCATGATACCAGGCACTGTACTGACCTATGCTCTGCATACCTTCCATTGTGCCCTACAACACCAGGCTGTGATTACTGAGCCGGACAGGGTTGTTCTGTAGGGAATGTTGTCTGCGGGGAACCCTGAGGACCCATCAGGGCCTGCCTGGGGCCCTAGGAATTAAATAGAAGCAGAAGGGCAGGTGTGGACATCCGCAGTAGGAGCTGGATATACACACTGCTTCTAACGCCTGTCTGGGAAATTGTTGGTCCCCACGGCTGATCATGGTTTGGGTTCAACTGAGAGTCAAGGCAGAAATCACTGTGAGAGTCCTCAGCAGCTCTGGAGTCTGGGGCTGCTAAAGGTCATCTTTTCTGCCACTGACTCCTGCATTTGGCAGGTCAATCCTGACGGGTCTGTTGCCACCAACATCAGGGACAGTGCTCATTGGGGGAAAGGACATTGAAACCAGCCTGGATGAAGTCCGGCAGAGTCTTGGCATGTGTCCGCAGCACAACATCCTGTTCCACCAGTAAGTAGAACAGGAACGGAGACCCTCTCCATTCCTTATTCCCACCCTGCCCCCCGCCCCGCGCCAAACACACATGTTCTCTAGGCCTGAGCTCAAGGATGCCAGTATGGGGGCCAGGAGACAGTATTCTTGTTTGCTTTCCCCCTGTTCAAGGTCCTTGGTCCTGCTTGCTATAAGAGGTGTCCTTCAGAAAGTCAGACTATGCCTCTGGCACTGGGAGTAGAGGTCTACCCCCTCAGAAGAATAATGCCCCCCACTCTCTGACAGATGCCCCTCACTCACCCTGAAATACTCCTTCTCAGGGACCAAGAGAGGAGACCATTGTTCCTTTTTCTCTCTCAAGCCTGGCACTAAAAACTGACTTTTTAAGAGGCTTTTCAGTTGCTTTTCCCCAGAACTTTTATTTATTATTTAAAAGGTGATATATGGAGTGCCTGGGTGGCTTTGTCAGTTAAACATCTACCTTTGGCTCCAGTCATGATCCTGGAGTCCTAGAATTGAGCCCCGCATCAGGCTCCCTGCTCAGCGGGAGGCCTCTGCTCCCTCTCCCACTCCCCCTGTTCGTGTTCCCTCTCTCACTGTCTCTGTCTCTGTCAAATAAATGGATAGAAATCTTTAAAAGAAAAAATAGGAAAGAAAGAAAAGAAAAAGAAAGGAAGGGAGGAAATATACAGATTAAAAGAAGAAAATAGAAGTCACCTGTCATTTCACCCAGAGATAACCATGGTTCACACCTTGGTATATGATTTTTCAGAACTTTCTCCTATGCGTGTATACATATATTATTTAACATTATAAAGGAGAGTAAAGCTCTGCATACAATTTTGTAATCGGCCATTTTTAATGCAATTGTGTTTTTTTTCACTCACGGTATCATGAACATTTTCATGTTATCATATATTCTTCAATAAAATAATTCTTATGTTTATATACTACACCATTGTATAAATGTACTGTCCTCTCTTATTAGATATTTAACAGGATCTGGGTTTTGTTTTGTTTTGTATTATTATTATTTTTTAAAAATATTTTTTTAATTTATTTGACAGAGAGAGAGAGATCACAAGTAGGCAGAGAGGCAGGCAGAGAGAGGGGGAAGCAGGCTGCCCGCCGAGCAGAGAGCCCAATGCAGGACTTGATCCCAGGACCCTGAGATCATGACCTGAGCTGCAGGCAGAGGCTTTAACCCACTGAGCCACCCAGGCGCCCCTTGTTTTTTATTATTAACAACACCACAATGGACATCTTCATTGCTAAAACTTTGTGCTCATCCTTACTTATTCCTGTAAGGTGAATCATTAGAGGTGGAACTGCTGAACCCATTGCCTCTCTCACTGCCCTGTCCCCTAGCCTCACAGTGGCTGAACACATCCTGTTCTATGCCCAGCTGAAAGGGAAGTCTTGGGAGGAGGCCCAGCTGGAGATGGAAGCCATGTTGGAGGACACAGGCCTCCACCACAAGAGGAACGAAGAAGCGCAGGATCTATCAGGTGCTTGGTATTGGAAAAAGAGAGGGCTACGGATGGCAAATCCATTGTCTTCCAGGACACCAACAGAAGGGGAGGCTTCTAAGAAACCTCCTAAGAGCAGGAGCACGTCTCTAAAGTTACTCTGTGCACCTTAGAGGAACCCACCTCTGGATCATTTCCCTCACAGAACCCCACTATCTTGTAGCAGCCTAGGCTATATTTGTTCTGATGTTCGTGGGTTTGAACTAAAATGTGAGAATAGCCTTTAAATGGTCTTATCTGTTCCTGCACTTCTGCATTTCTTGCCTTTTCTGCATTTAAAGAGGCCTGCACACCACTAGATTTTGAACACCGTATAAACATCTAAGGAGGCAGCATCAAGCTGCTGCTGGATATAAGGCACGGTCCCCCTTATGCCACCAGCCCTGGGCCTTTCTCCTCCTGTCCTCCATGGCCCTTGTGACCCTGTTGCCTTGTGTCAAACTCTAGGTGGCATGCAGAGGAAGCTGTCTGTTGCCATTGCCTTTGTGGGAGGTGCCAAGGTTGTTATTCTGGATGAGCCCACCTCCGGAGTGGACCCCTACTCGCGACGCTCAATTTGGGACCTGCTCTTGAAGTATCGCTCAGGTAATGGCCACTGCTCGGTGCCCTGAGCTCTCATGGTGCCTTTGTCTGTGACCTGGCTCTCACCATGGTGCTTTGCACCTGAGCATACTTAATAGCCATGACTACACTCTGACGGGGTGTGGCCAGTGACCTGAGTGAGCCAGAGTCCCACGGAAGCCTCCTGAAATGTTTATACCAATAGAGACAGGAAGTCACTGATGGAGCAGCCTACTTCCCTAAATATTCTAAAAGGTTCTCTCAACCTGCAGCCCCTCTGTCTGGAGCAAGGTATGCAGCTCTAGGTGAAACTCCTTTTTGACTAAAAAGATGCAAGTCACATGCAGACATCCCAGGAAACTCCATGGCTGTCTGAAGGTCACTCAGGACCAGGTGTGAGGATGGCATGCACATGTCCAGTGCTCCAGAGGACTACAGCAGATAGCAGTGTCTCAGAGTGGGCCATGCTTCCCTCTCTCCCAGCACCTTCTGACCGGAGGAGGCAGGTCCAGAAAGATGGCAGGCAGAGCTCAGAGGGCCTATGAACATGATGGCATGGCTCAATCCCACGGTCAATTTGCCATCCTGGCATCCTCATTACTGTTTTCTTCTAAGGACATCTCCCATTGGTTTCAAAGTATGTGTGTGTTCTTTGCAAAGACTGTAAGTGCAGTGCGTAATGATCCAGAGAGTATATACATATGGCACTCAATACATGCTGACTGTAATAAATATTTCCCCTACACAGTGATTTATTGGAGGCAGAGCCAAAGTCAGAAGAGGTACTGTATGTGACAGTGCTTGACAGCATGCAGGATGCTAGAAAATGTTAGCTGTTGTCGTTATTATTCTAGTATTCTGGACCTTGCTGCCGAATACTCTTTTTTATTGATCCACTTCGAGGTTTCATGCCCATGTCACAGAGAGATTGTTCTACATCCTTTTCCCTCCAGCCCTGCCTGGGCCTGTCTGGTGATATCCTGACCTCTGCCTTTGCAGGCAGAACCATCATCATGTCCACTCACCACATGGATGAGGCCGACCTCCTCGGGGACCGCATTGCCATCATTTCCCAGGGAAGGCTCTACTGCTCAGGCACCCCGCTCTTCCTGAAGAACTGCTTCGGCACGGGCTTCTACTTAACCCTGGTGCGCAAGATGAAAAACATCCAGAGCCAAAGAACAGACTATGAGGTATGTGTGTGCCCAGGGCAAGAGCCTGTGTTGGGTCAGGAGAAATGCACGGTGTGGTGATGCCGTCCCTGGCATCTCTCCCCCAGTCGGGCTCTAGCGGCCAGGATCAACCTCCTTGTTCCTGAAGCTCTTGGCAGGTTTTGAGAAATGGATATTCTGAACCTTCCTACAGAGATGCTTTACCCCACATGACACAAGCTGAGATTATGGTACTCTAGAACGCAGCATACTCATGTGGCATGCAGCCACAGAAATGTCTCAGGCTGCAAGGTGGCATGCTGGGAATCCGAGAGTGGCTACTGAAGCCTCCTATGTTTCATTCCAAAGCTTATGCTCCCTAACTAAACCCAAAGTCCACTGGGAAATGAAAGCCAAGGAAAGGCGTTCGTGGGAACTATGTAACCTGAAAATGATAAAGCCAGACAATAGCCATTAGCAGAGACCCCCTCAGCATTGTCAGGAGACCAGGTTTGGGTCTGGATAGCTGAAAGGTGGAGGACTGTGTCCTCACAGGCAAATTCCTTAATTGCTTTTCATTGTTGGTTTCTTTGCACACAGTAAAGGAAACCGATCAGTTCAGCTTCTGCTTGCCAGGGACATGGAGACGATAAGTGAGAGAAAGCATTATGAATGCCTTCTGGCCTCCTGGAGACCAGGCACTGTTCCTGTTGGGAGTGGTCAGGCTGGTTACTTTGTAGCAGGACCTAGGCCTCTGGCTGCCATAGTATAAGGGTCAGGCTGCCTCCAGGTTTTCCTGTTCTGGGTAGACTTCCATAGGAGAGTGTGCATTTACAGGGTCAGAGGAGCAAAACGTCTTGCATAGGCCACCTACAGCTGTCGTAAGATAATGACAAGCCAGGGGTGTCTTTCCGGTGCTGTTACTCTCTGTGCCTGACTCATACACTCACCAGGATAAAATCAAATAGCCACACCCTCAGAGTGCTCACCTGAAGTAATATATTAAAATATGAGGGAGAGGGGCAAAATCTGTTGACCACTTTTGGCAGCAAGAAACAAACAGGGTGCGGGACGCTTGGGTGGCTCAGTTGGTTGAGCGGCTGCCTTCGGCTCAGGTCATGATCCCAGCAACCTGGGATCGAGTCCCGCATCAGGCTCCTTGCTCGGCAGGAGCCTGCTTCGCCCTCTGCCTCTGCCTGCTGCTCTGTCTGCCTGTGCTTGCCCTCTCTCTCTCTCTCTAATAAATAAATAAAATCTTTAAAAGAAAAAGAAACAAACGAGGTGCGGTGAGGAAGGCATTTGGCCTCAGGGAGATGCTGTTGTTCAAGTGACTGACGCCTGTCTGTTGTAGGGGAACTGCAGCTGTGCGTCTGAGGGTTTCTCGAGCAGGTGTCCAGCCCACATAGATGAGATAACTCCGGAACAAGTCTTGGACGGTAGGTCCTGGGGAGGCTGTGTCTTGGTTCTTGTTTGGCGATCATCTCTTGATATGGTTGGGTGTGTCCTGTTGTCAAACATAATGGGAGAAAAGAGAACACTCTGTGTATTTCTCAAGCCCATGGTCATGAAGTTGCTCATCTTTCCCTTTGACCTTCTCTTCCATTCCCAAAGAGACTTTAAAGCCCTGGGCCTAAGGGCCTCCTCCCTTAATTGATGAATCCAGTCTTTGTTCACTGCTTGTCAGTGGCCCATGTTAAGCCTCCCTTCCTGTGTCCTTCTGTCCTGGTTCCAAGCAGCATTACTTAAGTATGGGGAGAAGGGCTACTGTAGGTCCCAGATGAGGCCCTCGGGTGAAGCCATGATGACAGATGGCTCTCAGAGTGAACTTTTCCAGAGAGTCGGACTGCACAGAGTAGACACCAAGTCACGCATCCTTGTTACACTCCTGACTTTCCCCTCGGTATCCCAACTTCCTAACAGTTCTCTCTTGAGTAAGGGTATATTAAACCTCGTCAGGGGCAACTCCAAGAGATGCTGAAGAGGCTCTCGCTAGAAGCACTCATCCTACAGGATCTGAGCTCAGGGACCCAGAGTGCTTGCCAACAACTCTTGCTGTCTTCCATGAAGGCCCACTTCCATCCAACATCTGGGATGTCTTTGCAAATGGAAGTCCACACACCCCATATCCCTAAAAAGGAGCAAAATGAGACCCGTGTACTAACCCAGGTTGATGATGGGATGGTGGAGGAACTATCTGCTTAGCAAAGAAAATACAGAGTTCTCTATTTAGCACAATTTTTTTTTCTAAATCTGGAGAATTTACTAACTGAAGTCTGGTGAAAGAGGAAAACTAGACACTATTTATATACCATGCTTGAAATTTGAGGGAAAATGCCCAGGTCTGCATCACGTTCACTCTCTTACCCACTCTTTGCATGGACAGAACCTGCGGCACCCAGGAACACATCCTTTCAGGGTGACAGCTCTGTGTCTTTTCCCTAGTCTGCCTTGCTGTGGGTCTTTCCCTGCTCGTTGAAATTCCCTCCCAGGACGAATCTTGGTCAAGACATGGATAGTTTTTAAAAACCGATACAGGAATGTACCAAAATCAAGTTGAAAATAGGGCCTGCCGGCTAAAGTAATTTTTTAAAATATTCTTTTATTTCTAAACAAATGTCTATTTATTTATTTATTTATTTATTTTACTATAAGAGGGATGCTGTGAACCATAGGAAGGAACACAGTAAGTCATTATGCCCCAAATAAGAGAAAGAAGATCATTCTGCTCCCCAGTTAGTTCCGCACAAGGCTTTTCCCTCTCGCACAACCGTCCACCACACACACATGTAGACCTCCCTGCCAGGCACTACAAGCCTGCTGCCCTCCAGGACTCCCTCTGGAAGGCTGACACACACGACTAAGACACAATTCCTGGGAATCCAGCAGCTTCAGCTCGATTTCCTTCCTCAGAGAACAATGCGCGTGACCCCTGGAGAGCTGTTTAGGGCAAAGCTGCTTCCTCACACAAGGAGCCCTCCAGCCCCTGTGTGAAGTCATCCCAGAGCTAAAGACAATTGAGTCCTCTTTGTAAATCTGACATAAAACAAGCCTTCCAGTCCAGTTAGACAGAAGGACATGGATTGAAAGCCATGAAATCCCTCCACATGGGTCATTTTTAAAACAAAGGAAGCAAAGAACCCACCAGGTGGCCTTAATTGAGAGGACTGCTTGGCAGAAATGCATGAGACCTGGGTTCTGAGTCCCTAGAATCCCTCTCCCTTTGACCTGCTTTTCAAGATAATAGGGAACTGTCTCTTTACATACAAGCTTTAAAATTTTTTAATTAGATTTTTAATTTCAAAGTAATACATTCTTGTGCATAAAAATAAAAATTCTGACTGTATGAGTATGTCGGGTAAATACTTGTTACTGGACATTTCCTCATGCCCCACGTTGTACACCCCACACTCCATCCCCCCACCCCAGTCTGACGCCACAGCTTCCTGCTCCCCTTCATCGTTTCCTGGATCAGGGTGTTAAGGTTGGTTACTTTGTTAGTTGGAACAGGTTACTTTGTTAGTTGGAACAGTTAGTTAGTCTCAAGGGAAATGGCTTATTCCTTCGAAGAATTAGACCAAGCACTGGTGTGTGATTTAGGAGGGCGAGTTCTTCTCCGGCTTGGGCACCAGTCCCAGGTATGCATCTTGGGCAAGTGACCTATAGCTTAGGTCAGACAAGGAAAATGAAAGCAACTTTGACTTAACCTTCAAGCCTGTGTTGAATTAAAATGGGCAACAATAATGATAAGAACTTTCTTACTAGAGATGATGTTCATGATTAAGATAGCAGCTAATATTTACCTAGGCACCAGACATGTTATTCTAAGTACTGTGTGGGTATTAACTCATCCAGTCCTCATAAATAATAAATAAGAGTAAAGTGAGTGGGTGCCACTGTTTTCCCCTTTGAACAGATTAAAAAAAAAAAACAAAACTGCTTGATGTTACATAGTTTGCAAGGGACAGAACATTTGATTGCACAAAGGAGAAAACTAGCAGAGGAGCATTGCATGACCTCCCCAAGTTTCCCTGACTGGTTAGTGGGGAATTCTGTGGCTTCCCTTTCCCTCTCCCTCTCAGTGCCCTTCATAGGGCCAAATAAGCCAAAACAGACTGCGGAGGTGGCATTAGTCCTCCGCAGGAGTCACTACTGAGGAATGAAATGCCCCTTCCTCAAATGAGAAGTGGAAGAAAGTAGGGGATGTGAGCAGGCTCACAAGTCTCCCAGGTTCAGTTCTGGAAGACAGAGTTGATGTCAGTTTCTCTCTCTCTCTCTCTCTCTCTCTCTTTTTTTTTTTTTTTTTTGTCCTAGGAGATGTGAATGAGCTGATGGATATGATACAACACCATGTTCCAGAGGCAAAGCTGGTGGAATGCATTGGTCAAGAACTTATCTTCCTTCTTCCAAATAAGAATTTCAAGCAGAGAGCATATGCCAGCCTTTTCAGAGAGCTAGAGGACACACTAGCCGACCTGGGGCTCAGCAGTTTTGGAATTTCTGACACTCCCCTGGAAGAGGTAAGCCAGAGATCCCAGCTGGTTTCCATCAGGAAGCAGAAAAGGAGCTTCTTTGCAGAAGTCGAATACTAGGGGGACGTTTCATGAGGGCCAAAAGCCGTAACTCCCCATCCAGGTACAGCAGCTAGTTTCATTTTTGGCTCACTCCCTCATGCCTCTGTCCATACAGAAACAGATTTCAAGTGGCTGAGGTCCCTGTGTGCATACACTTTTATATTGCCAGAAGACCATGTTCTTAGATAAATCACAACATATTTTCCTTCCATTAGGAAGTAGTACCCAACAAAACTGAGCTAGGGTTAGATTTTTTTCTGAGAATGGAATGCCTAAACCAAATGTTCTCTTTTTCCTTTTTTGACAGATTTTTCTGAAGGTCACGGAGGATTCTGATTCAGGACCTCTGTTTGCTGGTATGGTTCCAGAGTCTGTTCCCTCACCATACTCCCCAAGCTCTATATTGAAAATCGAAGGAAAATTTTATGAAACAACAAAGCAGGAAATTCTCCTCCATTGTATTTGTCTGAAACCCCAATATCACACATTCTGCATTCTTAGTTCCTTTAAATGACAGAGGAATGACAAGTGGAATTAGATCTGGGTGGAAAGACTCTAGATGAATCAGGATTCTTAATGAGGTCAGGCTGGGAGCTTCACCACCCCGAAGCTTCTCATCCCACTTTCGGGTCTCCTATACCTGCCACCTAACCGTCCTCATCTACTCCTCTTATCTCCACCAGGCCTCTGATCCACTCCTGTCTGCATGAGTGACAGCCCACAGAGTCCCTAGAGATAATGGTGACAGTGAATACAACCCAGATGCCAGCTGGAATCTTCTGGCCTCTTTAAGAAAGAGATAAAATTATTCTGAACTTTCATTTAGTGCCCTGTGGAAACTTGCCACGGTGGAAGTCATAACTTCTGTGGATTTGGGGGTCTCTCTTCTACATGTGTGAGCCCAGGCACCAACTAGCCCCTCCTGTGATTTCTACCAAAACCCCAGAGGCACACAAAGCCTTCATGAGTGAGTTTACTGTGAAGCATAGGGTATAGGGAGAGGGACATACAGGCGGGATTACCTGCCATGACACAAGCCACTTCTGATAGAATAAAAGGCATCCACCCACACTGATAAAATCCTCTGTCTGGCTCCTCTCTCTCCATTCTGTTTTCCTCTCTCCTGTTCACGGGCAAAGCTGTATGCCATTCTCCTTCAATGCATTGGGCTCCTGCTACTGGTTACCTTTTTCTACCCAGTATAGTAACCTCATAGTATTTTCCTGTGCAAAGACAGTTTCCTCCCTGTGAAGTTTCTGATGCCAACTCTTAAGATATATGGTTTTCATCTTGCTTCATAAGTGGTCCCAGATGTCTGTTTAGCAATAATGCCTAGAACTACCAGTGGTCAAATACACCAGCCCAAACGTGCTGCCTGGCCCAGGTGAGTCATGTGGTGGCCAGAAGAAGCAGGAATCCTGACAGAGTGCGGAGGGAAGGGCAGTCTGCGGGAGAGGGCAGGGGCAACTCACCATGGGACCCAGGTGTTCTTTCCAGCTTTAAAGACACAGAAATGGAATTTTCCCAGGTCACCCAAAGACAAAGGCTTACATTAACCAAGACCAGGATGAAAATATACAAATTTATATCAGAAGCTGTGATGTTTTCAAGAGTTGGGGCTTTCATCAGCCCCAAATACTCCTTAATAGTTAGATCTTCTCAGGTGAAGAAATTGGACATCAGAAGACTGGTCAGCCTGGGCATAGAGTAGGGTGTTCCAAAGAAACATGCAGGGATCGAGGTTAAGAGTGTAGCCTCTAGAGTAAGGGAGATCTCCATAATTGGTTCCACAATTTGCTAACTGAGTAGCTTTGGGTAAATGCTTAGCGTATTTGTACCTCAGATTCCTCATCTGCAAAATGGGGCAAATAATAGTACCCAACTTTTAGGATTATTCAGTTGAATGAGTTAATATGTGCCAAGTTTTAACACAGTATGTGATTTCTGATTAAGATTAAGCAACATCCTAATTTACAAATCATCTTTTACCTCAAAATTTTTAGCCCTTTATACTTCATAGAGCATGTAACATCCATTGTTTTGATTGTCACTATAATTGCATGAGGCCGCTAAGACAGGGGTTAGCCCCATCTGGGAGAAACTGGTCTCACACAGATTGGATGACTTGCTTTGAAGTCAAACAGGCTTCTGAGTCTTACTTCCTGGCTTTAGCTCTCAAACTAGGACCAAGTCCACACTCTCACTGCCTCCCATTTTTCAGATGGCTAAATGCGTATTTTAATTGGCTCAGTTTTAGAGGATGACACTTTCTGATCTTATCTCCAAAGTCTGAAGGAACTTGTAGCTATCCATTGGGGTACCAAGTTTCAAGGTACCAAAAGGCTGTGTGGCCTCTAAAGGCATGGCTCACAGCCACTGACCACTAGAGGGCAGCAGGAAGCCAGGAACAAATACGGTTCTGACTGCCCTCCACTGGCACCCTCAGCTCTTGCCTCCACAGTGGTCTCCAGTCTGGATGGGCCATCAGAGAGCAAAGCTCATGGGATCCTACCAGAAGAAGGGCCAACCACAGCACACAACACATCTGAGCTCACGGGGCACCTTAGTGACTCTGTCAGTTAAGCACCCAACTCTTGGTTTCAGCTGGAGTGATGATCTCACAGTAGTGGGATCTAGAGCCCTGCATTGGGCTGCCTACTTAGCAGGGAGTCTGCTTCTTCTCTCCCTCTCCTTCTTCCCCTCTTCTGCTCATACTCTCTCACTCTCTCTTTAAAATAAATCCATCTTGGAGCGCCTGGTGGCTCAGTTGGTTAAGTGACTGCCTTCAGCCCAGGTCATGATCCTGGAGTCCCAGGATCGAGTCCCCGAGTCGGCCTCCCTGCTCAGCAGGGAGGCTGCTTCTCCCTCTGACCCTACCCCCTCTCATGCTCTCTCTCTCTCTCTCATGCTCTCTCTCTGTCGAATAAATAAATAAAATCTTACCAAAAAATAAAATAAATCTTAAAAAAAAAATCTGACCCCAGATTAGGGAAAGGAGGCAGGAGCACTGGGGCTCTGGCACTAGGTCATGAGTGAGCCTGAGGAAGCCAGGTTGCTGCATTGCAGGTGTCCATGAGTGTTAAGTGGAAGGATGACTGGGCTGACCCAACTCCCTTTGTAGCTGCGCTTGTGCTGGGGGACTTTAGGACAGGTTAGGAAAGCAGCTAGAGACCAACCAGCGGTCCTCTAGGCTCTCCCTTTATGTCAAACAACAGTTTCTACAAAATTAACATTAATCAGTGATGATGAACTATAGCTTCAACATAACTAATGACTTGCAGTGAGTAGTTCTTAAAGCATATTTACATATCAGCTCGTTTAATCCTCATAACAATCCTGTGAAATGTTTTCATTTTCATTTTACAGAGGAGAAACCTCGGATTCGGATAGTCCAATTCATGCATCTAGTAAGAGTCAGGATTCAAACCCAGGTCACCTAACTCTTAGCCTTTCCACCACTTCTCAGTGGCCTCTAAGAATTTAGAAAAAAAAAAAATCAATTCTGACTTTTACTTAAGTCCACAGGTTACACATGAATATATTTTGCTGTTTAAAAATTCCAATAATACAAAAAAGGCTAAAATCACCCTCCTCCTTCATCCCCACCCCTTATCCAACTCTCCCCCTGCAGTGGTAACTTCTATTAATAGTTGGTGGGTGTTCCATGAGAGCTTTGCTCTTATATCTGTATGTGTGTATATGTGTATAACATATAATTTGTTATATGTGATATACGTGCTCTCTAACACAAATGTGATCTTATTACACATATTGCTCTGTAACGTTGATTTTTTTTTACTTAGCTATGTTTTAGACCTCTCTGTCAATGCATTTATATGGTCTTCTCTTTAGCTACTGTAGAGAATTTTTAAAGGATTTCAGGTAATTCTGTCTATAGATGATTTACACTAAAAAATAGAATCGTCATTTTATTTTTATTTATTTATTTTCTTTTTTTTTTTTTTAAAGATTTTATTTATTTATTTGACACAGAGAGAGAGATCACAAGTAGGCAGAAAGGTAGGCAGAGAGAGGAGGAAGCAGGCTCACCGCTGAGCAGAGAGCCCGATGCGGGGCTCGATCCCAAGAAGCTGAGATCATGACGTGAGCCGAAGGCAGAGGCTTAACCCACTGAGCCACCCAGGCGCCCCTATTTATTTTCTTTTTAGTAGGCTCCACACCCAGTGTGGGGCTTAAACTCGTGAGCCCTGAATTTAAGTCATAGGCTCTGCTGACTGAACCAGCTAGGTGCCCCCCAAAATAGAATGTTTAAAAGCATATTAACAGACCTGGCCTGATACTTTGTTGCTAATTTAAATGAAAGGGAAAACCAGAGCAGTAAGAAAATAAAGAGCACATGAAAGCCATACCCTGCAAGTACTTTTCTAAATTTATTATTTCAATCTTCCAAATCAGGTGGCACTCGACAGAAAAGAGAAAACGTCAGCCTCCAACACCCCTGGCTGGGTGCTGGAGATAAGGCCAGACAAATTCCCCAGGGCTCCGATGGCTGCTCTGCGGAGCCAGCTCCTCCCCCGGGGGGCCAGCCCTCCTCAGAGCCTGAGCCTGAGCACCGCAGCAGGCTCAACACAGGGGCGCCCCTGCTCCTCCAACATGTGCAGGCGTTACTGATCAAGCGGTTCCACCACACTGTGCGCAGCCACAAGGACTTCCTGGCCCAGGTATCACTGTCGGTCCTGCACTTGGCTGCTGGTGGCCAAAGTCTGCCTGCCCTCTCCTGGCCTTTCCCTCCTCTCCTGGGCTTTCTCCTGTTGGAGCTTCCAACAGGGATGGGCACACTCTTTAGGTCTTGTTGGCTTTGCTTGCTCCTTGCCACCTTGATTTCGATTCTTAGTAACATAAAGATTCTTCGTGTTCGACCTGCTTAGCAGAGAAAATAATAATGAATATGTGAAGACTGTTTTCATTTCTACCGTGAAGGGTAAAGTCATATTTGCATTCATTTTTGCTGTGCCCCTACATATCAACGTCATTGACCTCTTTTTTCTTTTTAGTCTTTTCTTAAATTAACTTCTTAATTTTAACTCCAGTATTATTAACCCACAGGGTTATATTAGTTTCAGGTGTACAATACGGGGAGTGATTTCTGCAATTCTGTATGTTACTCAGTGCTCATCATGACCAGCACACTCCTCAGTCCCCATCACCTATTTCACTCCCCACTTTGGTAACCATCACTTTGTTCTTATATTTAAGAGTCTATTTCTTGGTTTGTCTCTCTCTCTCTCTTTTTCTTCCCTTTGCTCATTTGTTTTGTTTCTTAAATTCCACATATGAGTGAAATCATACGGTGTCTTTTACTTATTTCACTTAGCATTATACTCTTTAGCTCCATCCATGTCATTGCAAATGGCAAGATTTCATTCTTTTTTATGACTGAGTAATATTCTATTATATATGTCTCATGTCTTCTTTATCCATTCATCTACCCTTGGACACTTGGGCAACTTCCATAGTTTGGATATTGTAAATAATACTGCACTAAATACAGGAGGACATGTGTCCCTTTGAATTAGTGTTTTTGTATTTTGGGGGTAAATATACAGTTCTGCACTTACTGGATCATAGGATAGTTCTATTTTTAATTTTTTGAGGAATCTCTGGACTGTTTTCCACAGACACTGCACCAGTTTGCATCCCCAACAAGGACTCCTTTTCCTCTACATCTTGCCAACACCTGTTTTTTGTGTTTTTGATTGTAGCCATCTGACAGGTATGAGGTGATATCTCACTGGGGCTTTGATTTGCATTTCCCTGATGATGAGCGCTGTTGAGCATCTTTTCATGTGTCTGTTGGCCATCTGTCTTCTTTGGAGAAATGTCTGTCTTGTCTTCGGCCCATTTTTAAATTGAATTATTTGTTTTGGGGGTGTTTTGTTGTATCAGTTTTTTATATATTTTGAATTCTAATCCTCTATCAGATATGTCACTTGCAAATATCTTCTCCCACTCCGTAGGTTACCTTTTAGTTTTGTTGATTACTTCCTTTGCTGTGTAGAAGCTTTTTATTCTGATGTATGTTCAATAGTTCTTTATTTTTGGTTTTATCTCCCTTCCCTCAGGAGACATAACTAGAAAAATGTTGCTATGGCCAATGTCAGAAAAATTACTTCCCGTGCTCTCTTCTAGGATTTTTATGGTGTCAGTTCCCACATTTAGGTGTCTTATCCATTTTGAGTCATATCTGTGCATGCTGTAAAAAAGTGGTCCAGTGTCATTCTTTTGCATATAGCAGTATAGTTTTCCTAGCACCATTTTTTGAAGAGACTGTCTTTTCCCCATGGCTTATTCTTTCCTCTTTTGTCAAAGATTAATTGAGGGTTTATTTCTGGGCTCTCTATTGTGGTCTAATGATCTATTTTTCTGTTTTTGTGACAGTACCATACTGTTTTGATTGCTACAGTTTTGTAATATAACTTAAAGTCTGGAATTGTGATGCCTCCAGTTTTGTTTTTCTTTTTCAAAATTGCTTTGGCTATTCAGGGTCTTTTGTGGTTCCATACAAATTTTAGGATTGTTTGTTCTAGCTCTGTGAAAAATGCTGTTGGTATTTTGATAGGGATTGCATTCAACCTACAGATTGTTTTTGGCACTCTTTTTTTAAAAATATTTTTTAATTTTTTAAAATATTTTTGTATTCAGATGCAGAAACCAACAGACACTGTTCACTTCTGGCTGAACATTGATTGGCTACCTCAATGCTCAGTGTTAGCCTACTTCATTCATTCTTCAGTGGCCACCAGAACAGTCTGTTTTCTCCTACACATCTTGCCTTTACATGTCTTCCCTTATAATGTTCCCCAGAAAACTGACCTTCTGCCAGATAAATGCTTAGAAGAATGAGAATGTGTGTGTTGGGGGTGGGGGGGTGTCTTTAGCATACCACAGCTCACATTGCCATGTTTATTTTCCGACAGATTGTCCTCCCAGCCACTTTTGTGTTTTTGGCTCTGATGCTTTCCCTCATCATCCCCCCCTTCGGTGAATATCCGGCTTTGACCCTTCACCCCTGGATGTACGGGCAGCAGTACACGTTCTTCAGGTGTGTAGATTTATCCCTAAAGGTTATCATTCACCGCATGGGCTGTGGGGCTCCCAGGTCAGCCTGCTTGGAGGGACCTTCCCCTTTCCACAGCAACCAATGTGGTAGGGGGCCTGGACTGCCCTCCAAAAGGAAGTTAATGTACCTGTCACTTGGGAAAGGTGACCCCAAGTGGACAACGGGGACTGCCAGGTGTAAGGAAAGAAAAAGTAAAGGTTGGGTGAGTAGGTTGAACCTCATCTTTTTGAGGTGCAGACATGATACGCCAGCAGATCACCGGGCCTGTGGGAGCAGCACCCTCCCTTCCCAGCACCCTGCAGCCACCCCCAGGCAGCGTTCTGTGGCTTGCATTCATGCCCAGCGTGGAGCAGCCGTTCCGTGCATGCCTGTCAAGTTGCATGTTAGCTGCTTTGTCCCTTTGTCCCAGTCATGCATCTGTCAAGTAAGCCCCTCTCAATCTGTCTAGTTTGGACCAGCCAGGGAGTGAGCAGCTGGTAGCACTTGCAGACGTCCTCCTGAACAAGCCGGGCTTTGGCAACCGCTGCCTGAAGGAAGAGTGGCTTCCGTAAGTCCCTGCGCACCCCTGTCCTCCCATCAGCGACTGCCCCAGGGGAGCCCTGAGGGTGGGATCCCAAGCTGGCAGGTCAGGAGAGGTCCCATCTCCATCCCGCTCTCTGTTACACAGGTGCTTCCTCATCCCTGACCTTTACCCGCCTCTCCTTCAACACCCAGTGCAAGGGTGTCCCCACCTCTGAGGAATCCCCTGCATCACTGGGCAGCTTTGTATTTCTAGAATTCCCAATATAGAAAGTTCCGTACTAAGTTGACATATGCTTCCCACAGTGTATTTGAAAGGAATCTGAACAGGGAAAGGAGGGAGATGGGGGATGTGCTATTGTTTAATTGGACCTAGAATGGCATTAATTACATAACTTTCAATTGCTGTAAGTACAGAGAAGAGAGTTACAGAGGGTAACTGAAGTCCAAGAATCCTTAAATTTCAGCATAATTGTAATGGCTTCTCTCATTCAGTAGTTTTCAGAGCTGTAGGTAAGGACCCAAACAGATGCAGCTCCAACTCCTCTTTTATTTGTTCTGTTTCTCAACAGCTAGAGGTGCCAGGAGGAAGAAGGGAGATAAAATAGTCCACAAAATAGACAGTTATTGCCCAGCCTAGTCAATCAACAAAATTCTGGTCTTGAGTTTTTTTGAGCAGAAACTAACATCCAAGAATAGAAGAAGAAAATATGTGGGTCTGCGGAGATAGAGGAAAGGCTAAGGAGAAGGTTGGGCACTATTTCTCATTTTTAGGGATTTTTATCAACTGGAGCTACTTGTGAAATATTTTCTTGCCTTCCATGAGGGAGTACCCCTGTGTCAATTCAACCCCCTGGAAGACTCCTTCTGTGTCCCCGAACATCACCCACCTGTTCCAGAAGCAGAAATGGATGCCAGAGGACCCCTCGCCCTCCTGCATGTGCAGCACCAGAGAGAAGCTCACCATGCTCCCTGAGTGCCCCGAGGGCGCAGGGGGGCTCCCACCCCCTCAGGTACCTTGACCCTCCATAGGAAGCCAGTAGCCCCGAGTCTGCCCATGACAGCAGGAATTGGGGAAAAGGCACTGTGCCTCCTGAGTTTCTAGCTGACTAACATTTCAAACTGAGAGCTGAGAGAGGGCCCAGAGGAGTCCTTGGGTCCTCTCAGAGGGGCATGCTTAAAGGCACTGTCTCAACTAGTTGTTCCATTTTCCACCAGGCACTCCCTCTTCAGTCTAATAAAAAAAAAAAAAAAACTTTAAACATTAAAAAATATACTAGTCAGGTTGCCTGGGTGGTTCAGTAGGTTCAGCATCTACCTTTGGCTCAGGTCATGATCCCAGGGTCCTAAGATCAAGTCTTGCATCGGCGTCCCTGCTCAGCAAGGAACCTGCTTCTCCCTCTGCCAGCTACTCCCCCTGCTTGTGCTTTCTCTCTCTCTGACAAATAAATAAAATCTTTTTTTTAAAAAAGCATTAAAAAAAGAAAAAATATATGCAAGTCATGTGTGCTCATTAGAGAAAAATTAGAAAATATGGTTAAGTCCGAAGAAAAGAAATCATCCTATAATTGGAAATAACCAATAACATTTGCTTTTTATCTATACAGGATTATATTCAAAACACTGTTTTGAAACCTGTTTTCACTTAGAAACATATCATGAACATATGTTCATGTTAATAAATATATACACATCATCACTTTTAATCTCTGCATACTGTCCCACTGTTTCATTTAATTTGTTTAACCTCTCATCGAACATGTGAGTTTTCAGTATTTTCCATTTTAAACAATGTAGTGTCCCTTCAAATGCATATGTATTTGCACACTTGTTAACAACCGAATTAAGACATTTGGCACATGCTGTGTAACCAACATGCATACACTGCTTGCATGCATACATGTGCGTGTGCACACACACACAAACATAGCCAGTTACCTACATTTTTCTCTGAGCAGCATCCTCTTTTGGGATTTCTTTTTATTTAAGATTTTATTTATTAATTTGTGAAAGAGAGGGAAGGAGAGAGAGATCACGAGCAGGCAGAGAGAGAGGTAGAAGCAGAGTCCCCACTGAGCAGGGAGCCCAATGTGGGGATCACTCCCAGGATGCTGGGATCATGACCTTAGCCAAAGGCAGCCACTTAACTGACTGAGCCACCCAGATGCCCTCTTTTGAGAGTTCTGAACTCCTTGATATATCACACCAGTGAGCCTCTCCCAGGGGCATCAGAGATAGTGAAAGGGGTCAGAGAAGTCTTCCTCTGTCTTCAGTTGCTAACAAGCCTCCCAGCTGACTGGCACAGAACTGGGCCTTGTGTGGCCTTCCCTAATGATCTGCCAGTGAATGAACGATTCCCCGATAATCAGCGTGTCCCAGTGGGATGAGCACCAGCATTGGTGTCAGGGAGCCCCAGGCTAGTTACCTGGCCTCTCTGAGCCTTCATTTCCTCATTTATAAGTTAAAGATAACTACTTATTTCATAGTGTTATTATGAGAAATCAATGAAATAATGTGGGTAAAGGAACTATATTATTTAGTAGATTCAGCTCAACTGAAGACAACCTCAAACTGACCGTGGATAAAATAAGACACAGTTTGTATCCCTCTCAAGTGAAAGTTTATGCAGGCAGTCTGTCACATTGTGTTTTGTTGCTTCTCCCTGGTAAACACGCCTTAGCCTCACTGGCCAATCTGGCAGAATCTACTTTCCTGGTAGCGGAATAGAAGGAATAGAAGATGAAGACAGTGCGAAGTGTATAGATGCTCTATTTTTTAAGGAAGATTTCCAGAAGCTACCACATTGCACTTTCTCTTATACACGATTAGCCAGAACTAAACATCAAGAAAGACTGGAAACTCTGTAGTCTTTATTCTGGGAGGCCTTGAACCTACCCAATTTAAAAAAAAAAAAAAAAAAGTCTGTTACTATGGCATACCCAGAAGGGCAGAGCACATAGTGGGGGACAACTAAATTTTGCCATAGCATCAGTCACAGCTGCTGGCCTATAAGTGATTCTGTGTTTGTGAGCATCCTCCTATCTTTCTCTTTCTTTATTTGCTAAAAGCATATACCTTTATATTTCTCAAGCAGTACGTTTTCCTTTTGAATCACAACTCAGCCACTGCAGCATCACAGAGATCTCAGAAGAGGGAATCAGGGAGCTTGTTCCAATTCTCTGTACCCCAAGAGGAAGCTTTGCTTCTTCTGGGATGACTGAGGGAACCTGCAGCTGCTTCTGTTCGGATACATCAGGCAGTGGGACACAGCACAAGAGTCCTTGGCTGAGAACACAGGGGAGGAAGGCGAAGCAGAGCTACGTGGAAATTCGTTTCCTCAGTGGATCTTCCCTTCAAGACTTCCTGCCTAGCTTAGGAACTTTTCTTTTCAATAATTAGTCCTTGGTTCCTGGTGGGAAAATTTAACAGATCTCCATAGCCAGAGTCTTGAAAAAGGCAAGCCAGTCCTGTGATTGTATTTTTTTTTTTAATCACTCCTGCATTTCCTCACTATCACTGATGCTTCTCTTGGGAGCAAAGTTGAATCTCAGGCATCAGCTCAGGAGGTGCTATGTGTATTTGTGTGTCTTTTACACACACACATACATGCATGCTCACAGTTAGACCCACTCACCCCACTCATTCAAACACACTCTCCTGTTCAGCTTGGAATAAAGCCAAAGTGTATGGGCTTCCCTCAGAGCTAGTAAATTGTACACATCAGAAAAATTGGGGTGGTGATGCAGTCTTCCCTAGGGTTCCTTCCTGTCCTACCAGTCTTTGAATGGTGGCATGTTCTGATGTGGAACTGCTCCATTCCTGACTTCTAGAATACACAGAGATCAAGTTGTAGGAGTCTTTTATTTGGTAGAATTTTTAGAAAATAATTTATCACAAATTACCAGACACCAGCAACTCTCCCAGCCTAGTTTCTACCAGGGTAGCGTGGCAGGTCCCCCGGGTGCCATTCTTAGCTTAAGAAGCAGGTGATAGAGTGAAAAGAGCAGGGCTAGGGAGACAGACCAATGTGGGTTCAAATCCTAGCTCAACCCCTATAACTTCTGTGACCTGGTGCAAGTTAACTGAGCTCTCTCGACTTCGGTTTCTCCGACTGTAAATTAAAGCAACAGTTCTTCCCTAAGAGTATAATGATTAAGGGAGACAATGAATATAGAGCATTTAACAAAGTGCCTGACACACAGTAAGCATTCAGCAGATGCTAGTTCTCCTAGCATTGGAGGAACCAAGTGAAGAAAGTAAATTGAAGAGAAGTAAAATGGGAAAGGGCTGGGGGAGGCAGAAAGTGTATAAGAACAAAAAGAATGGTATGTGATGGTATGTGCGATGTGTTTTTCATTTCACCAGAAATACCCTTAGCTACTCTGAGTAGTGCCCTTGACACCCTAGGTTCTTGATTGACCAGAACTGCACCAACACTATGTAGACCCAAATTTAAGGTAATACTGCCACCTGGTGGCCGAACTCATGCGCTTTTTGAATCATCCAAAGGTGAAACCAGCTTCCAGTTCTAGATCTGTTTTAAAGGCAATCTGTAAATTGTAAGGGACTGCCTGAATTCCTTCATCCGTGTCACAAATGTATTGTTTCACCTACATTCCAGGTACATTCCAGGTACTAGAAAGTCCCTGCTCTCTTAGAATTGATATCACACAGAGAGGTAACAGATTAAAAACAAGGAAGCAGATGAATTGGAAGGAGAATGTGAGATAGAGATGCAGATGAGAAGATATTGCAGCAGTAGGTTATGATAGAGAGTGACTAGGAATAGAAAATACTTCCCTGAGGAGTAAAATGTAGGGCAATAACTTGAATGATGATGAACTATCCATGCAAAGTTGTCCGGGCAGAACAATGTAGGCAGAGGGCACGGCCAAGTGCAGAGCTCCCTCAGGAATGAGGGGTGTACAGTGGAGAAGCAAAGAGAACAGTTGGGGAGGATGAAGAGTAAGGAGAGTGGTGGCCAAAGGGCTCAGAGAGCAGGGCAGGTCCAGACTGTGACTGTGTCAGCCTTGATGATGATCCTCAGAGGAACCTAGGGTTTATTGGAATGGGGAAACCAAGGACTGGGGAATTCTGATCTACATTTTTAAAGCTCAGTCTGGCTGCTGAGTGGAAAATGGATTTTAGAGGGCCAGGGCGGAATAAGGGAGGCCAGTCTGAAAGTTTCTGTCGACGTCCAGGTGAGGTCTGAGTGGAGGCTTGCACTAAGGAGGTGTTCCGGAACTGGAGCAGTGGGGATGGAATGGAGATTTACTTTGGAGTTGCAACTATCCTATCTTGTCAATGGGTTGGAGAAAAGAGAGGGATCCAAGATGGCTCCACATCTTTAATGTGGGACTAGGGATATGCCAGTGCTTTATTTAGTGTCTTCCCAGCAGCTGAGTCCATAAATAATTTTTAGAGAACAAGCCACAGATTCCAAGGTGACTAACATAGATGTCTCATTGCCTCAGAGAATACAGCGCAGCACTGAAGTTCTACAAGATCTTACGAACAGGAACATCTCTGACTTCTTGGTAAAAACATATCCTTCTCTTATACGAAGCAGGTAAGAAGAGATTCTTTCATAATTTACAAGCTGGCTCCCTGTAGAAAGTACTAACTAGAGACAGAAGATAATTTATTCTCACAGCTTATTGGCAATCAGAGCAGTGAAATTTTATTTTTCCTGATTTACCCGAAAAAGCAATTGAGACATACATAAGTAAAAATGCAACTTAAAATTAGTTTTGTTGTCATTTTTCATTTTATTTAGGCCAAGTAGTTTTAAGTTTAACCCATGAACCATTAAAAATAAAATAAGAAAGCCCACAATGCACCCAGTAATGCAGCCTCATGTTTTAACTAGTCAGAATGAGAGACAACATTTTGAGGGGAGAGTAAAGGAGAAAAAAGAGAGAAAAGGAGAGAAGCAAGGGAGAAAGGAACAAATCAGACCAACATAGAAAAAAAGCAGTGTGGGATGGCAGCCTGTAAGGAAGGCCACAGGTTGGCCAAGTTTGGGTCACCTTGTGGCGCCCTAGCTGTAAACTCTCCTCTGAGTCCCTGCCCTTCAGTGTGCCCCTCAGTTCTTCTGTGAGCGCCCCCTTTTGTCAGCTCCGCAGCTGCTTCTCTCTGGCCCCAACAGGGGATGGGCAGTGTCAGCAGCCGCTGGCAGAGCTTGACAAGAGCATGTTCTAGAAAGGGAGCCTTGGGGAGCCCTGATTCAGTCCCCGTGTGCTCTGGGGCCTCATAATAAAACACATACTATCTAATTGTCATAGTCCTTTCAGTTGCTTCCTGTGCCAGGTCCTGAACAAAGGATAAGCCGACTCGGTTAACTAGAACACCCTGCCAGTGGGGAGAGCCGCTGCTGAGAAGGCGGTGCCAAGCCAGCACTAGCAAAATGAAAAAACACCATCCAAGCACAAGAATAAGAGCAGTGTGCATAGTATTTATTCAATAATGCAATAAAACCACAACCATCCCAAACTTTGCCCTCAGCAGTGAATTTGCAGTATGGAATTCTGTGCTTGATGACAGTGATCGTTGACAGGGCCTGAACTGTGAGGTCTAGAATTGGCATCTGCTCATTACTTGTCGTTTTACCCCTGACTGGCTGGAAGCCAGTCTCTTAACTTTGGGCTTGGACTAAGTCAGCACTTCTCCCCAGTGTGCAGGTGATTAATATTAGAGTCTTGTTTGTGCAGGGTGGAAGATGGGAGGGCTGCAGCCTTCTTTCCACACACTGATATAGTGGTGGCCCCATTTTCTGGGTCCAGATGGTCTGACAAATGACCTGACCACAGGACCACCCAGAAAGCCCAGAATGCAGGATATGACTTGGAACACAGTCCTTCCTCTGCATGTGCACTTGGGCTCCGCCTCTGGGCCTGGAGGCTTCCCCCTTGTTTGGATACCAGGAAATGCAAAACTGCCCCCGCTAGACGGATCGGCCCCAGTGAGTGTTTGGAAAGAAAGTTAACACTACCGCCTTCCTTAGGGGACTCATTGTATAATTTGTTTTGGCTTTTAGCTTGAAGAGCAAATTCTGGGTCAACGAACAGAGGTAAGAAACTACTTTTGTAAGAAATTAAAATCTCAGATTGATCCATTTAAAATAACTGCACATTAAAAAAAAACTACACCTGGAGCCACATGGGCTGTTCAATTATGTACTCAGGAAATCGCAAGTCATGTCCTGAAGGCTATGTGGCTAAGCAGTAGATCTCCTTGGAGAATATATAGGGGATGTGGTGTTCCCTTAAGAGGTGTTCCAGAGCATTCCCACTCAGAGGGGTTTCTAAAACCTCACAAGGGTAACAGTGGAGAACTGCAGTGACAGGACCTGTAACCTAAGCTCTGCCACTCCATGGCCCATCCCTCTTGAGCCTCAAGGAGTCCAGCCCAGTCCCAGACTCACCCCATGCCTGGGGCATTCTCGAATCTCAAGTGGTTTCAGAGGCTTGGAGGAATATTCTAAGAGTGAGCTGGCCTCCCATAGTCCCTCAGCAATAGGGCCTCTAGAATGAATGCAGAGCTGATATTAACTTGATTTCCTAGGTGAATTTTAAACCATGAAATGGAAATCCAGCCTTTAGAATTGCTCCCTAGAGGGAAATGTGGGGCCTCAGTTGAAGCAGAAATGGGGGTGGGGCAGTTTGAGTCCCTGAGAAATAAAGTTCCCCTACTCTGCCTTGCCTAAGCAGCAGATTAATTTTGTTCTGTCAAGAGTTCGGCTTTTATCCTTCCACTGCAAGGCTTTACACCCAAGAGGGACAGGCCCAGATTGGTGTTTGAGAATGATCACTTCAGACTGCCAAGCAGTGTGAAAGATGGGTGAGAGCAGGAGAGATCCAACACTAGGACCCCTGTTCAGGTTCTAACAGCAGAGTTAGGGCAGGGGATCTGCAAAGCACAGGAGTGGCACCAAAAAGGAATCCTTGGTTGGGGTGTAGGTAGAGTCAGGGAAGACCTCAGAAAGAAGATGACATATGACAGATGAGCCCGAGTAGGCCAAGTGCTCAAAAAAGGGCAAGGCACTCCTGGGAAGCTAGCAGCCCCACTTTGGCAGAGATGCCAAGGCAGCCTGGACCAGCGGGGTTTCTGGAAGTGATCTGACATGGCTGGCTTATGCTGCTTGAGGGAAGGCATGAGAGGGGCAACGTTGGAGAGGGGGGCAGAGACCAAACTCAGTAAAGATTGGGACTTATCCTGGAGGCAACCAGAAGGCATTGATAGTTGGTTTGTAAAGTGGAGCCGTGTTGCTGACTAGTCCGGACAATTCCCCCAAAGTACACACTGCCCTGCAGAACCCAAGAGAGCTATCGACAGGTGTGAAGCACCACAAGCATGGTTCGTGGCCCCGACTTGAGGACTTCTTGTTCCCTTTTCAGGTACGGAGGAATTTCCATTGGAGGAAAGCTCCCAGTTCTTCCCATCACTGGGGAAGCCCTTGTTGAATTTTTAAGCCACCTTGGCCAGATGATGAATGTGAGCGGGGTATGTAAACATCTTGGAGATTTGGGTAGAACTTCTGATGTGCTGGTTATCATGAAGCAAATAATCATGAGTGTTAAGTGGAGAAAAAACCCCTTGTGCTGTTTTCTAGGGCCCTATCACCAGAGAGGCCTCTAGAGAAATGCCTGCTTTCCTCAAACATCTAGAAACTGAAGACAACGTTAAGGTACTGGTCCTGCAGTCTGCCCTAGAGCCAAAAATTCACGTGAGCTAGTTATTTTAGTTTTATTTCTCCAGCTTAATTACATTCCATCCCTCCTCCTGTTGAAATCTAGCCTGGAATGTCTTCCAGCTGCCAAACCCTTCCTCCTCCTCCTCACATTCTTTCTCCTGCAGCTCATTTTTTCTTTAAACAGCTGTAGCACAGCCTAACAAAGCCCATCTCTGCTCTGTAGGTGTGGTTTAACAACAAAGGCTGGCATGCCCTGGTGAGCTTTCTCAATGTGGCCCACAATGCCATCTTCCGGACCAGCCTGCCCAAGGACCAGAACCCCGAGGAGTACGGCATCACTGTCATCAACCAGCCCCTGAACTTGACCAAGGAACAGCTCTCAGAGATCACAGTGTAAGCTGCCGTGGCCCCCAGCCTCCCAGCTCTCCCGTAGCCCTCTCCCCTCTTGGGACACCCCAAGAGGATTCTCGCTAACGTGAGCTGCTGGGCAGGATGGCAAGGTTGTTAAATCAGGCACACACGAACATGAGACTTTCAAGTGCCTCATGTACCAAACGGCTTGGCCATTTTTTTCTCTTCATATTTATTTGGAAACTAAGCATAGATTTGGTTCTCTTCCCTTTTGGCTTTTAATACCAAGTTGCTCCTGGAGCTTGCACAAATATTCTCCTTACCAGTTTGCAAAGTGACTGCCGGGAACTAGGAAAGTGGAGCCAATCTTTCATCTCCTGGAGTAATCATCTTAGATTCCAGGAATTTCCCTCAGATGGCCAGGCTTTCAAGACTTCAACAGATCCTTGCCTTCCTCAAGCTTGGGCTCTCACTGCATAGCTTCAGGCAGTGAAAGATACCAGTCCCAGGCAATCTGTAGTATGTGTGCGCCATTTGGGGCCTATATTCAGTGGGGAGGGCTTCGTGAGTGCAAACTTCTGGGAGACTGTGAAGGTCCTCATGTTCCTATCCCAGTGTATTCAGTGCCCTCAACACTCGTCCCGAATGTGCCATGTCATTGGCTAAAACTTGGGCCCTGGTCCCCAGGGGCCTTCCTTTGGACACCCTCTGAGGCCCTCAACTGAGGAAGCATAGTCTGTTCTATGCCAGTTCTCACTCAGCCGAGGTTTCTGCATCTGCAGCCCAGCCTCTTGAATCTGAAATAAATAAGTCTTCTGTGGTTATAAAAACAGTACATAAAAAAGTATATGATTGTTAAATAAAGTGTATAGAACAGAGTTTTTAAAAACTTATTTTCTACAACCCCCCACACACAGTTTAGGGTCTTGCCTCTAAACATTTTGTGTTTCCTTCTGGTTATTTATTCTCTCCTTCCTGCATGTGTGGATTGTGCCCTTTGTAGTTTCAGCAGGGCTGTGCCTGACACACGCGGTGCCTCATGGGAATTAGTAGGAAGTGCTCCGCTCTCTGTGCAGGCACTGTCCCGGGCCAGCGCCTCGCTCCTATGTGAGGTGCAGGTGGGACTCAGCCACACCTGCCGCCTTAGCCACATGCTTTCTCAGAGATCCAGGAGAGAGTGAAGAGAGCCAAGCTCCTATATGACTGGCCTGTTCTCTTTTCACTTAAATTTACATTATGAATATTTCCCCATGTTGTAATATGTTTCTTGAAAGTGTGATTGAACAGGATTTCGCAGACCATATTGTTGTCTAAACAGAAAATCCAGGATTATCTATAGACAAATTATGAGAAATAATAAGAACATTGTAGTATATGAGATTAATATAAGAATCCATTTCTGTATACCAACAAATAATTAGAAAAGGTAGCAAAATTTGTGTAGATTATTATATTAACATGAAAAATATTTGATATTAACATTAATATTAGCATTGGAATAGGAAACCCACAGATATCCACGTAACCTTGACCCAGTTTGACTAGCTCAACTGAGTGAAACAACAAGCTTCCAGGGGATTCTGGAGGCGATTACCTGGAGTTGGGTGAGGCTAACTGAGCCTGAGCCTACCTTCATCCTTCTCCAGCTTCTGCTCTCTCTCACTGTGTCTCTCATCCTCCTGCAGGCTGACCACTTCGGTGGATGCCATGGTTGCCATCTGTGTGATTTTTGCCATGTCCTTCGTCCCAGCCAGCTTTGTCCTTTATTTGATCCAGGAGAGGGTAAACAAAGCCAAGCACCTCCAGTTTGTCAGCGGAGTGAGCCCCACCACCTACTGGCTGACTAATTTCCTCTGGGACATTGTAAGTGTCAGGTCATTGCTTCCGTGGGCCCACGGTGGGCAGGTATTTGTCTGGTCTGACTGAGGGGACCTAGTGGGGGTGGGCTGTTGCCAGGTGCTGTGATGAGGGCCTTGTGTGTTCGCTGTTTCTTGGAAAGGCACAGAATTAGGAGCCCCAAGCCAGGGAAGGATGTGGGGCCCGACTTAACAGCTAATGAGTTGGGGCTTTGCTTGCCCTGCCCCAAGGGACCTTCTGACCCACTGAATAATTAGTGAGCTGCAGACATGAGGCTGCCTTTCCCGGGAATAATCTGGGGCTGAAGAGGTAGTATCGAGAGCTCCTTCATCCTACATTCTCTTCTTACATCCTGATCCACCCCTTAAGGGGGAAGGATGGAACTTCTCCTGAGGTAGAGTCACTGAATCAATATAGGACATCAGTTAAATCTAAATTTCAGATAAAATAATGATTTTAGTATAAGTATATCCCACCTGCTAAATACTGTATGCATACCTACTTTTAATAAAAAACAAATCAGTTGTTTATCTGAAATTCAAATATAAATGAGCAATCCTACATTTTTATTGGCTAAATCTGGCAACCCTATCCAGTGGCCTTACTTTGCTTTCCCAAAGTAACTAGACCTCCACCAAATCAGATTAGCCACCACTTTAGGGAATATAAGAAAAAATTATTTATCAAGTCAATAGCAGACTGCCACCTCTCTCACAACCAGGATTATTGGGGGCAGGAAGGAGTCAGGATGAGTTATCTTATGACAGACCACAGGGTCAAAATAAATTGGCAGAAAAGCCTTAATTATAATGTAGCAGGGGTCATTATGACATCAACTCCAGTGTTTTCTGGGCACTGTGGCTAACAAGATCCTTTGTTTTATCCCAGCATTCTAAGATTAACATGAGTCTCCATTTCATGTTATGTTAAGAGATATCATGATGGAAACCAACACAAACAGCTTTTTCATGGTGGTTTTGAATAATGATGACAAATACTAGGGCTTATAAACACACAGTTTCTTTGATCTTAGCTTCCTAACCACAGTCATCACTGAATAATACAAAACCAGAAACCAGAAACCATCAGTAGCAACTAAATTCGTTCTTCTCTATCCTATCTACCTGAGAAAACACTTACAAATGTACGGGGAGGAGTCAGAATCCTCAGGCCTCACTTTGGATAAGAATTTTAAGCATGAAAGTGCTGGGTTTTGCATTCTACTTTTTTTTTTTTTTTTAATAAAGATGAGGATTGTAGAATTTGTACTTTGGGCGGACCCATGCATGTGCCTAGCTACAGAGATCTCTGAGCCTGAGCAGAAACGTGCATAGAAGTCTAGAGTGGGTGTCTGGTGGGAGGTAATGCTAGCTACTGTGGCTGCCCACCTCGCCCTATCTGTCCTAATGTCTTTAGAACTGAATTATGTAGGAAGGGAAGAAAAGGGATAAAGTGATGAAAGGCCTCATGAAGTTCAACTATTTGTTCAATAGTTCAAATAGTTCGACTATTTGAACTTCATGAGGCCAAGGACTAAATATTTTGAGGTTTTCTGTATTCAAGAGACATGCTTAGAAAGTAGAATCAGTAGGACTTCATGACCAATTAGAAAGAGAAAAGAGAAATCAGGTGGATTTTTAGAACTCATTCTCTCAAAGACAGAGACTGAAGCTTCCCTGCACTGGGAGGTGGGAGTGGGGAATAGTAGGAGGCCTAGGGACAACTTAATGTGTGTCAGCTGACCAAGAACTGTTTAGACAAATACAGTCAGAATCCCAGACCATTATAAGTGCTGGAGGAGCCTGCCCCTGCCCCCATTTTATGGAACAGGAGACAGAGGTCCTGAGAGGTTAAGTGTCTCGCTCTCCTTTTCTCTCTTCGAGATGAATTACGCTGTGAGCGCTGCTCTGGTGGTGGGAATCTTCATCGGGTTTCAGAAGAAAGCCTACACTTCTCCAGAAAATCTCCCTGCCCTTGTTGCCCTGCTCATGCTGTATGGGTGAGTTGTTTGGGTCATTAGCAAATGCCACCCAAAGGGAAGCCAAGAGAGGTGCGTGCTCTTCTGACAGGAAACCAGAGTTTCTGGCAGCCAGGTTAGCACCCTCCGCAGGGTGTGCTGCTACCGACCAGGAATCTGTTGTAGACTCCACGCACGGAGCTGCTCCTGAGGCTCGAATGAATCTTCTTTCACTCCAGCTGGGGCCTGACCAGGGTCTGGGAGTCCCTCATTCTCCCATCCCTCACCCGTCTCTGATTCATCCCTAGCCAACCTGTCCATCTCAGTGTCTCCTGCTGGACTGGCCAAGAGTTATTTGCACATGGAAGACTGCAGCTGAAAGGCTGCCCCTGAGCCAGGGCCAGAGGATGACACAGGGATTAAATCCCATAGAATCATAGAGCAGGACATGCACCTTTATACCCCGGCCTACTCCCCACTGTGTATGTACCCATGGACAAGTAATTATCCCATCTGCGCCTCAGTGTCCTCATCTGTAAAATGGAAATAATGACACTTGGTCCTTCCTGCGAGGGCCAGTGAAGTCTTGCCAGGACAGTGGTCTCTGTTCATCTCTCTTAGAAATAAAGAATTCAGGAGCCAGGACTGTCAGTTGTGAAGATGAGCCTCCTGGGATCTCAGCTTGGCTTTGGTGATCCCAACTAGAGTGGGAAGCATTGCGGGTAGACACAGCCCCTCTGCCTGGTAAAAGGCATGTTCACAGCCACCATCTCACTTGCTCCTCACCAAACCCCGGTGAGGTAGCCAGGAAAGAAATCACTGTCTCCCTTCAAAGATAAGGAATGAAGACCAAGGGACGGAGCTGCTTTCTGGTCGTCCTGGGACTCTCACCAGGGCAGGCATGTCCCCTCGTGTGGGGGAATGCATTATATCTAGTGGTACAGAGACTGCAACTCTGTCACACTGCATTGTGTCGTTTCCCCTCACAGATGGGCAGTCATTCCCATGATGTACCCCGCGTCCTTCCTGTTTGATATCCCCAGCACAGCCTACGTGGCCTTGTCTTGTGCTAATCTGTTTATCGGCATCAACAGCAGTGCCATCACCTTCATCTTGGAATTATTTGAGAATAACCAGGTGAGCATGACTTCTGTGGCTTCCTTGTTGGATTACGAAAATATTAGAGAGTGTCTGATGGTCAAGCAGAGCCAGAAGCAAATACTGTGGCTGGACACCCTTAGTGCATACGTGAATGTGTCTTCCTCTTTTCCTCCCTTTCTCCATCCTTGCTGCTTGCCTCCTTCCCTTCACTTTCCCTCTTCTTCCTCCCTCCCTCCCTCCCTTCCTCCCTTTATTCCTTCCTTCCTTCCTTCCTTGTTTTCAGTTAAGCTCATTTAACTCTATTTGTGTGCTCTGAGTCTCATGGTTTTCTGAGCTTGTTTTGCAAGCTATAAATGACCTTTTGTGATCCCAAGCTTTTAGATTTTCTTACTCCTTCAGAGTTTCCTTGGTGACTTCAGGTGTTAGGTTTTTCTACACACACACATTCACACATACATGTGTGAGTGCATTGACGTGATTTCAAAGGAATGAAAAGGCCTACAAGGAAGTCTCCTTCCTGCCCCTGTCTCCCAGTCACCTGCTTTGCTTCTCCAGAGATGATCTTTCATTTCTGTTTCTTAGGTGTTTTGGCAACAAATAAGCAAATGCATAAATTTTCTTTCTCCCACTTTCTTCTACATATAGTAATGGAGTAACACTATTCTATATGAAACTTAATTCTGAGGATAGGGTTAGAAATGTTTGGTGCTGAGTGAATCACTTTTCTGAGCTATGAAGTACAGTTGTCCCGTGCATGCTCCCCAGACGTCTCCTGGCCCAGAAAGAGCCGGCCAGGCTAACCCCTAAAACAATGGCAGCAGCTCCGGGGCTGTCTGTGCGCCCCACCCCCACAGCCAGCTGTGTCTGAGCCTGGGTTTGGCCAGCCCAGCCCGGAACACTCTCAAGCCCCAGCAGGCCTGCCAGTGGCCTCTCTAGTCTGTTCCTCCCTCACTAGGTCTTTGAGTTCAGAGGGTGCACACCAGCCAGCACATCAGCACTGCTGTCCTGTAACCCCTGTCCCCACTCCTGCCTCTGGGCGCTGCTGGGAGGACCCAAGGCAATCTCCACTTACCCCCAGCCCCATGGCCTCCTGAGTGATGCTTCCCCAGACCTTGTCAGACTTCCTGCAACAAAACCCCATTTGTCCCATGACTTGTAAAAAAATGTACTATGTCACAGTCAGAGAAATGGATGGGAAAGAACACAGACTCTGCTGATGACAGAGCCTCCTGGCAGACTGAAAATGCTCCCCTTCAGAACTGTTTGTCACGGGCTCACAGCCCACTGTGTCTTAAGAGATTGTGTTACTTCAGAAAAATTAAAGAGTAAGCTCAAAGCAACTCAAAACACTCTCCCTGCTGAGGGCTACACTCATCTAGCTGACATTTCCGGAGCACACCCCCTTCCCCTGCAGAAAAGCTGCTTACTTTCTTGTAAGTCCTCAGAGAAGCAGATGCTACAGAGATTCCCCTATCCCTCAGGAGGCTCCCAGGTCCCAGAGCTGCTGTCCCCACTGAATCAAGAGGCATCAACTAGGTGAACACCACGTAATGATGGTGCAGGCGTAAACCCATGTGAGCTGCTTATCCTACCCTGCAGGAACTCCCAGGCCAGTCTAGAAACGACCTGTGCCCCAAGCTAGGAACCGATATGAACCACAGTACCCAACATTCCGTAAGACAGCATGTGATAGAACAGCAAGGGAAGGAGACAGATAAAACACTGCAGATCAGAATGAGCTAAAGTGCTAAGCTACAGGGCTCAGGAGAATCTGGGCAGAGGAAATTCCGTTGAGTCTGGCCTGGAATAAGAAGGATTTTATTAGCCCGTTTAATAAATAATGAGGTGCCTACTATGAGCTAATCATTGAGTAAGGAGGACCCAGCCCCTATCCTCCAAAATAATTAGGACCCAGTCCCTTTCCTTCAGAGACCAGTGGCTAGCAGGGACAGCGGGCAAAGTAAGAAGTACTTAACCCCGTGACAGTGTTGTAAATACTAACAGAGAGAAGTAGGTATTTTACATAGAAATCTGAAAAGGCTTTTGAGAGAAGGGATTATTCGAGCTAGGTTTTTTTTAAAAAAAGATTCTATTTATTTATTTATTTGGGAGAGGGAGAGAGAATCTCAAGCAGACTCCACTCTATGCATATAGCCTGAAGTAGGGCTCAATCTCACGACCCTGACTTCGTGACCTAAGCCAAAACCAGGGGCTGGATATTTAATGGACTGAGCTACCCAGGCATTGCTCCAGCTAGCTTTCCAAAGTTCTGGAATCTGCCAGAGAACAGATGGGGAGAGAGCATTCTTTCCTAATAGCAGTCATTAATAGAAGCTAGGGGCACAAAGGCCTAAAGGCAAAAAAGCACTGTGCTGGGAGGAGGGGGGCGGCCATGGAGAGGGGAGTAAGAGAGGTCATGTGAGCAAAGGTGTGGGGGCCAGAAGGAAGCCAGTTGTGCTGTAGTGGCGGGGGTGGGGGGTGCAGATTAATGGGCAGCCTCTGGTCTGCCCTCTTGCGGGAGGCTCTGGCCAGCACTGCTGGGCTAAAGTAGCAACCACCATCTGACCACCTGAAAACAAGTTCCCCCAACTCAACACACACACCAGAGAGTCCCCGTCCCATTTTTCTACTGGCAACAGCCACAGACACCTAGCTGTCCTGTGGGAGCTGAGAAGCAGAGCTGGAAGACACACAGAGCCCTTCTCCCCTCTAGCACAAGCAGGGCTAAGAGCAGATGCAAGAGCCTCAGAAGCTCGTCACAGCTCACAGCTGCACCACAGGAGGAAGAGCCTGGGCTGCACTCCCAGCAGCTGCTGTCTCTCCCAGGAACAAATGCCTTGGAGGGCTGGTGTATAAGTGAGTCTGCTGTGACAGCTCCCCAGACAGGCTGCCTGCCTAGTGGCCCTTCTTGTGAGTATTCCAGAACCTCCATATCTACGTGACAAATCCTTCCTGCGGCCAGTCTGACTGCTAGGCCCCCTCCATCTGCAGGCCTTACCCTGGTCCTGCACAACGAGGGCCTCCAGGCCCCACCCTGCTCAGGAGGGGCAGGTGGGGTCAGTCCCCACAACTGACTGCCCTGTTTTTCTGTGTTTCAGACACTGCTCAGATTCAATGCCGTGCTGAGGAAGCTGCTCATTATCTTCCCCCACTTCTGCCTGGGCCGGGGCCTCATTGACCTGGCGCTGAGCCAGGCCGTGACGGATGTCTACGCCCGGTTTGGTGGGTGGCCTTCGAGGCCCCAGATCCTCTGCACAGTGGCGGGCTGCCGGGGGAGTTCCTATGCCAGACCTGCAGCCTGGGCTAGAGCAGGGGGACACCTGGTGGGTCTGGGAGTATACTTCTGCCCACAAGGGATCAATTGCCTCTGTCTCTGTGGCTGAGGAGCCACAGGAGATGTCAGGAGCAGGCTCCAACTCTTCTCTGCTCTGACTAGAGCAACTGAGCTGGGGCCTGGGTCCAGCTGTCGCTTACTCCTTTGCATCAGGCCTGGTCCAGCTGGACCAACCAGTGTGACCAGGTCTCTGGGGGCAGCTAGGGCAACTGAGTGGACTTCATTCCTGTCCACAGGTGAGGAGCACTCCGCAAACCCATTCCAGTGGGACCTGATTGGGAAGAACCTGGTTGCCATGGCCGCAGAAGGGGTGGTGTACTTCCTCCTGACTCTCCTCATCCAGCACCACTTCTTCCTCACCAGATGGTACGTTCAGGCCGCTGCCCTAAGGCTGCCGAGGGCAGTGCCTTGCATCTGTCCAGGGACTTGGCTTCACATCAACGCAGTCCTCTCTTTCCTCACCAGCCCCTCTCCACAGTGGTTCTTCACACCCTTAAAGGCTGGCTTGTTCTGAATAACACAAGGACAGAGACACTAAAATAGGCACTTTGGAATTTGGAAGAATCTAAGCTTGAAAGTATTTAAAATACAGCTTTTTTAAAAAAATATTTATTTATTTGACAGAGATCACAAGTGGGCAGAGAGGCAGGCAGAGAGAGAGGAGGAAGCAGGCTCCCTGCTGAGCAGAGAGCCCTATGTGGGGCTCGATCCCAGGACCCTGGGATCATGACCTGAGCCGAAGGCAGAGGCTTTAACCCACTGAGCCACCCAGGTGCCCCTAAAATACAGTTTTTAATTTCATTCGCTAATATTTAAAACCTTTCACCTTACTAACAGATGCTCCTTTTAAATTGGATAATAGTCTTACAAATGATGACAATTAAGGGAGATCCAAAGTACTGGGAAATAGATTTATGCATTCACAAGAAAATAGACAAGGTGGGCCCCTTTGCTAATTAGAGATATGAGAGTGGGGACAGGGAGTAACATAGGATGATAACCAGGGCAACTGAAGCCAGGAGCAGTGTGAAGAATGGGTGCAGGGATTGTGCCCCTCTGGGTGGGAGCAGGGAGGGCAGTGACTGCCAACCATGACCCAGCCCAGCTGTGCCATTTTTTCCTGGCTTCTTGACCCAGGCCTTGCCTCCTTCTGACATGGGCACTCAGGTTTCCAGAAGGCTGTCCCTCTGCCATCCAGGCTGACCTTCACTAGCGCTTAGCCCAGGGCCCCCAACTGCAAATCACTGGGCCCTTGGAATGTGTGCTTTTCCAGACAGTGTTTTGCTTCTTATCCTTTCATCATCTCAGGCTGAGTCTGGCTACATATAAATAAAGATATAGAGAACTTGGTTTAGGTTTTAATCCACAGGGAATTGAGTTACTAGAAACAGATGTAGCTGTGAGGATTGAACGAGATAATGGGTATCAACACACTTGGAATAAAATGACATGACCGGGAAGTGGTGCTGTTATGGGGGACGGTGTGGGGGGGGTGATGTCCGTGGAACCCTCAGCTCCCACAGGCCTCCTTCTACAGCTTTGGCCACTTCTTAGACCTTGGGATAGAAGGGAGGAGGCAGACTTGTCTACCAAAACAGACTAAGTAGCTTCAAACTCTGGTGTCAAAAAATTGAGCACGTCTTGCCACATTAGGCCTGAAATAACACCGGAGAAGTATTCCACGATCTCTGGCTTCAGGAAGCCCACAGCCATGCTCATGCTGAGAGGCAACCAGGCAAAGAGAAGGGCAGAAGAAAGGGAGTTTCTGGTAGAGGACGTGCTAACATGTGGGGAGTTCACAGAAGGGGAAAGGTGAGGGGGTAGGAGAGGAGCCTGGAGAGGTAGGCAGAACCAAGTCCTGAAATGCACATTACCTTGGTGAGGACTTCAAGTTTAAGCCTGAACGCAGCAGGGAGCTGTTGTAGTGTTTTAATCAGGCAGGTGAATGATCTGCCCAGTCTAGGAGAGAGACCAGACAGGAGGCCATTTTGGCACCCAAGCAAGAGTCAGTGGTGGCCTGGATAGGAGATGGGCCATTGGGGGTGGAGAAGAATAGGTTGATTGGGTAAATGGTAGACAATACAAGATTTAGGATGAATTAGAAGTGGCCAGTGAGATTGTAGGCCAAAGTGGTCAGGGAGGGTTTCAGAGAAGACGCTGTGTTTTTAAGGTTGGGTGGGGGGCGGTTTCTGTTTGGCAGGGCAGGAGGAAGAGGACGCCGAGGCCCTGGAAATGCCTCTAGAGGCTGGGAGTCAGGGAAGACTAGTAGGTACTAGAGACCAAGTCTTGATCAAATGGTTGGGAGAGGAGTTAGTTCAAGAGATAAGTGGGAGACGGGTGATGTTTACTGAGTGCTTACCATAGATGAAGTGTTTTAATAATGATAACAGTTGCCAGGTTTTGAGTTCTGACTCCATGCCACATGCTGTGCCAAGTTCATCTCCATAGTCCTATAAGGTAGACACTCTTTTCCCCTCCCTACCATATGGTTGAAGGAGGTGAGGTTTAGAGAGGTTCAGTGACACACCCAGGGTCACACATGGGGAGACCAGGACTGGAAAGCATGGGCACTGCACACCAACCCATTCCTCTCCCCTTCCATCCTTTAGGATTGCTGAGCCTGCAAAGGAACCCATCACAGATGAAGATGACGATGTGGCTGAAGAAAGACAAAGAATCATTAGTGGGGGAAATAAAACTGATATCTTAAGGCTAAATGAACTAACCAAGGTAAGGGAGTAGGTGTAGACAAGTTAATCTGGAGGTGCCAGTTGGATCCACAGAAGGCACAACATGGTAATTTGCCTTTTGCAGAATAAGCAATATGCCTACATAAGCAATTCGTTTTCCTAATTTTATGTGAGGTTGTCATCGCTATGTTATAGCTTGCCTTCCAAGAACACCTAACTCCAGTGCGTTCACCCCAGTATTCATCTTGGGCTCTGGCACAGGGCCTCAGTGGGAGCCCCTACACCTGAGCCTCACTCACCCTTCCCTCCTCCGTCTCTGCACGGTGGGTCAGCTTCAAGGTTTCCCAGGGCTCACAACACCTCTCTGAACACCCGTGCCAATATGTAACCTCCTCGTGTCGGTAGTTCTCCCCTAGACCACCCTTTGCTCTCTCCCCTTCCCGCTCGCACCCTCTCTTGGTTCTCAGTCCAGTTTCTCTGCATCTTGCAGATTTATTCAGGCACCTCCAGCCCAGCAGTGGACAGGCTATGTGTCGGCGTCCGCCCCGGAGAGGTGGGTACCCTGCAGACTCCTGTGTGTGCTGCTTCTCCCTGCTGTGGCAGGGATCTCGCAAAGAAATCAGATGCAGCCACAGAGGTCATTTTAAATTTTCTAGCAGCCACATGAAAAAAGTAAAAAAATAAAAAATAAAAAAAACAGGTGAAATTAATCTTGATTTATTTTACCTAATATATCTGAAATATTGTTGCATCAATATGTAATTTATATAAAACATTATTGATGCAACATTTTACATTCTTTTTTTGTTATTGCTTTAAGTTTTCAAAATCCTGGGTGTTTTATACATATAGCACATGTCAGTTCAGACCAGATGCATGTCAAGTGCTCAGTGGTCACTGTAAGGAAGGAAAATCCTCTTTCCTCTACCCTCCTGGGTTCTCTGCTTAGAGCTCTGCAAATTGGACTGATGAAAGACAGATTAAGAAGAAAAAAACAAGCAGCCATTTATTAGGGAATGATCACAGATAAATGACAGGAGAGGTGATTAGAACTTGGGCTTATATAGCATCTTGGCAAAGGAATGATACATTTTTAGGAAAGTGACAAGACAAAGGGAAAGGACCTTAAGTCAGTGGGGTTGGTGAATTATAGAAAAGGTAAATATGGGGGAAACCAATAGTAGATAAAGGCTGGTGAGTAGTTTATTATGTAGATTCCTCTGGTGCTGTCTCCAGGCTAAGGCTTGGAAGCTGTTTCTGGCAATTAACTTTTATTCTTCCTGTTAGAGAGGGCAAGAGAGGACACCTTGTAAATTTATGTCGTGCTTTTAGGCACAGGAGAGGGCAGAGAACTTTTATTTTTTTTAAGATTTTATTTATTTATTAGAAAGAGAGCACAAGCAGGAGAAACAGGAGAGGGAGAAGCAGACTCCCCGCCAAGTAGGGAGCCCGACGCGGGCCTCGATCACAGGAGCCGGGAATCATGACCTGAGCTGAAGACAGACACTTAACTGAGTGAGCCACCCAGGTGCCCCCAGAGAGCTTTTCTTGTATCTGCTGCTGCTTAATTGCCTTCGGCTCAAAATCATCCTGAGGCTAAAGTGGCATATCTTGAGGTAGCAAATTCTGCTCGCCTGTACCACACATGGCTAGTGGCCTCCGTCATGGCAGCCCAAGTTGAAAGTGTTTCCCATCTACCCACACACTTGCCCTAGGGCCTCACAGTCCCCACTCCCTGGGCTGCTTGGGCTCTAGGATGAGGCCAGTTTATATGTTCTCCTGTAGTGCTTCGGTCTTCTGGGAGTGAACGGAGCTGGCAAAACAACCACATTCAAGATGCTTACTGGAGACACCACAGTGACCTCTGGTGACGCCACTATAGCAGGCAAGAGGTGAGTGTCCTGCTCTTCCTGTCTCAGGGTGTCTCTCATAGGTCCTGGGCCATGTTCCTGTTCCAGCATAAGGAGAGTGAGCATCAGACCCTGTACTAAGGATGATCCTTAGAGCTTGGAAGATCTGTGCAGAGGAGTAGGCCTCCCAGAGAGCATGGTCCAGAATGTACCAGATGTAGACTTTCTGGGAAATTGAATTGAATTGTGATTGTTAAGACATGCCCCTGTAAGCATGGATTCTTGGAAACTTCTGGGAAGCACTATGTCATGGGTTCTTAGTCTTTTTGAGGTTATAGACTCCTTTAAATGTCTGATGAACATTTGTGCTTTCTTCATAAATATATAGACCATTATTGGGGCACCTGACTGGCTCATTTAGTAGAGCATGTGACTCTTGATCTTGGGGTTGTGGGTTCAAGCACAACATTGGGTATAGAGATTACTTAAAAAAAGAAAAAGTCTTAAAAATACACACACACACCCACCCACACACACACACACACACCATTATCCCTCATTATTTCCCTCCATACATTTTCTACATTTTTGCAAAAAGTTCACTTTTTTTCCCAGGTTAAGAACCCCTGTGGGGAAGTACCCTTTCTCTGGATCAAGTTTCTAGGTGGGGGCTGGTTTAAGAAACTTCAGGGGCTTTAGTGTGATTGGGCTATTTCTGCACCAGTGCTTGGCTTTACCAGGCCAAGGAGCCTTTATAAAGGGAAAACTGGCATGTGTCCTTGGATTCTGGAGGGTGCCTGCTGCTCTCCAGAACAAGGTGTGAGTAAACAGACTGGTCCTCTATGGCACAGGACCAAGAACACGAGGCTACACTGTTTGCCACTTTCCAGGCTGCTCCCTGAACAGCAGAGCTCACAGGCATCAGATGTGCCCAAACACTCTGCCTCAATTTATAAGCGGAGTTAGGCAGTGCTGACTTCTGCTCAGCATGTGCCTGACAGGGGCCTCCTTCCCTCACCTGGGACCCATGCTCAGCAACATGGCTGAAGGCCCACTGGACATGGCTCAGACAGGATGACTTTTGTTCCTCGGCCTTCCCCAGCCATCCCTGTTGGGTCTAGAGCAAAGGAACAAGCAGGGGTAAAGCCAGGCCATGGCTGAGTCGGTCTCATCTGTAGATCCAGCTTAGCCTACAACCAAGCAAGTAACTTGACAGGGGTAACAAAAGGAGTCTTGGGGGACCAAGGGATAGCAGGCAGGAGGCTATAATGGTATTTACCTTAAGACATCAGATGACAGTCCAAGTAAGACACAGCCTGATGCCTAGAAGACGGAAGCTAGATGAAGTGAAAACTGGAACACAGCTGTGAGTTTAAGATGCAGGATTGGGTTCCTCTGGTAGGACAAGCTCCCATGAATTTGGAAAAATACTCTCCTTGCTTCCCTGGATGACTTTAACTGGTCCAGCCATACCTGAAGTACTTTGTATTACAGTCCAGGGGCTGCGTGGTGTCTCTCTGTCCCATCCTGTTGCATCCATCTTTTATTTATAGATCCTAAGCTACTAGGGAAGCAGGGGAGCAGGGAGAGATTAGACCAGGTTTGACAGTTTATTTTTTCATCAAGGCAATGTATTTTCTAGTCAGGGAGAACATTATCAGTCAAGGGGAGTTGATAGAATTCAATTCACTTCCTCTCCGCTCCCTGCCAGTCTCTTGCTCTGGGTACAAATCTGACTGGTTCCTCTTTCATTTACTGTATCTCTGCCAAAACCCCAGATGGAGAAGTTTACTTCCTTAAGGGAGCATGCATCTTCTCTGGTTATGTCCCAGATGTCTGAAAGGGATCAGAAATCACTGGTCATTTTCTTTTCTTTTTCTTTTAAAGATTTATTTACTTTTAGAGAGAGAGTGTGTGTGCACTGAATGGGAGAGGGACAGAGGGCAAGGGAGAGAGAGAGAATCTCAAACAGACTCCCCACTGAGCAAGAAGCCCAATGCAGGCCTTGATCCCAAAATCCATGAAATCATGAACTGAGCCAAAACCACAAGTCAAACGCTTAATGGACTGAGCCTCCCAGGCACCCCTCACTGGTCATTTTCTAAAGCCTGATCTTCCCTTCATTTTTAAATCCACATATGAGGCGATCCACTCCAAAACTAAAGCTGACTTTGGGTAACAGAGATTCAGATTATCCTAGAAAGAGAAACTTGGAAAGATCTATTGGATTCAATGCTCAGAATTCCAGAAGTTCATCAGTTTCTAACCAAAGGGCCCCTGCTTTGAATTATAAATGTTTTGCACATTTGTGAAGCAAAGCAGAAGAGAAGAGGTAGCTTGTGTATCCCATTGACAGAAGCTCTCCAGCCCCAGTTCTGTTGTCCCACCACCCACCCGTTTGAAGAAAACTTGCTAATTGCTTTTTCTTCTTGCAGTATTTTAACCAATATATCTGACGTCCATCAAAATATGGGCTACTGTCCTCAGTTTGATGCAATTGATGACCTGCTTACAGGGCGAGAACATCTTTACCTTTATGCCCGGCTTCGAGGTGTACCAGCAGATGAAATTGAGAAGGTAAAAAATGGTTTCTTGTAGCCACTCAGGAGTTTGGTAATTCCTAAGCCTGTTTCGTGAGAGTGAATTTATTTGGGGATGGGAAAGTTGAAACATGCTGTCCGTTCAACACATGCTTTTTGAGTGTCTACTATATGCCAAATACTGTTATATTTGGGTGAATAGCAGTAAACAAAACAAGAAAATCCCTGTCTTCCTATCTAACAAAACAATGTATGCATTTACCCTTGGATTCAGCAATCTCACTTCTGGGAATTTACCCAAAGATACACCCTCCCACAGTGCAAAATACACATACATGCACAGCTTCTTCATCGCATTCGTAGTCACAGAACATTGGGAATTACCTAAATATTCAGGCATAGGAGATTGGTTGAATCATTTATGCTCCATATACATAAGGAAGTCATACGCAGCTGTTAAACACACACACACACACACAAAATCTCTGTGAACTGATAGGGAGTTATTTCCTAGAGTTATTGTTAAGTAAAAAAAGCAAAGGGCTAAAGAACACATGCTGAATTTTACTTTTCTCCCCCACTATTTTCTACTGAAGTATAGTTGACATACAATGTGACGTTAGCCGGAAGGTATAACATGATTCGACAACTCCATGCATTATGCTGTGCCCTCCAGGGTGTAGCTCCCATCTGACACCATGCAATGCTATTGTAACACTATTGCAATGACAAATTCCACAGCTGGGAAAGTATAGGTATAAAATGAGCCTGAAACATCTTATTATGCCAGAAAGTAAAGTGCTTTAAAAAAAAAAAAAAAAAAAAAGAGGTATGTCGGAGCTATGCAGGAGCCATCATAAAGGGGCTCCCAATAGCCAAACGGGGTACAGTTAGAACATCAAAACAATAAACACCATGATAAATTATAAGACATTGGGGGAAACAGAGGAATTCATAACTCCATACTGTTAAATAGATAAATAAGAGAAAAGGGATGGTTCTTACCTACACACAGATGCTGAGAGCCAACTGATTAGGGTGGGAGAAATTCTAGAGTTGAAAAATCATTTTTTAGTGATCATAGTAAAGATTGGATTGCACAAGCATCATCCATGGTTGATAAATCTAGAGGAAGCTTTTTATGAGACGCAAGGTGTTTGTAGAGCTTGAAAGTATCTCCCATAGATTGCTTGTTGGTTGTGAGGGAGAAGCATCATAATTTCACAATGAAGAAATTAGACAACACCTTAATTGGGTAATCAGAATTAACATTCCTTATGAGGGGCACTTGGACATGTCCTGACCCTAGAGGTGATACCATGAGAAGGACACAACACAGGATATTCTGATCAAGGACATATAAGCTGAATCTTATCATGAGAAAACATCAGACAAACTCCAAAGGAGCATTCTATTAAAAAAAATATTGGGGCCATACTCTTCAAAGTTATCGAAGTCACAAAAGACAAAGAGAGACTATGGAAATGTTCCTGATCACAGGAGCTAAGCAGACACGGTGGCTGAGTAATGGACACTAGACTGCATCCTGTACTGGATAGAAAATAATGCCATGAAGGCCACCATTGGGCCAGTTGGCAAAACCAGACTATGAAGGGCAGATCAGAGGACAGTATCAGAACAATGTTAAATTTAGGGACACTGATAACTGCACTGCAGTTATGTAAGAGTGTTTCTCTTCTCAGGAAGTAGATACTAAAGTATTTAGGAATAAAGGGTTATGATATATAACTTACCTTGAATGGCTCTGAAAAAATCATATGTGTGTGTATGTATGCACACGTGCACACACACATGCATAAGAGGGAGAGAGAAAAAGAGAGTAAAGTGTTTATGAATATTTTTGTATTATTCTTATTTTTAAACATTCCTGTAAGCTGGAAACTATTCCAAGTAAGAAGTTAAAAGTGAAGCTTACATTCTAGTGGGAAGGACAGATAATAAATAGATAAATAAGTAAAATATACAGTACATTTGCAAATGAAAAGTCTGTAGGGGAAAAATAAAGTAGGGAAGATTTTTAGATAGGGTGGCACAGGGCCAGCATCACAGAGGAAATGACCTCTGAATGAAGACCTAAAGGAACTGACAGAGGGAGTCATGGGGATGGCTAGGGGAAGAACATTTCAGGCAGAGATATAGTAAGTACAGAAGGCAGAAGCCTGGTAGGCTTGTCTCCAAAGACTTCTCTAGTTTTCTTTCTGTGCACGCGCTCTTCCCCCCACCCCGCCCACACACACGGTATTCTTTGCCATAATTTCCATTGATTTTTCTCAAAGCACTTTTATAATCTGTCATTATTCTGTTTATTTCGATTGTGTGTCATCCCCCACACCCATCTGTGAGTACGACAGCAAGGCTATGTTCAACATTATTCCAGGGCCTAGTGCAGTGCCTGACTCATAGCAGTGGCTCGATAAGTACATATTAGATGCACGAGACTTCAAGTGTGACCCTGTTGAAGGGTGGAAGCAATGGGTCTGAGACCCACCAACAGACCCTGGGACTCTTCCACCCTTACCCGTAGTCTGGGACACTGGGTGAGAAGCACTATCTTGCTCTTTGTAAGGCTGAAGGTCATTTCTCTGGGGGCTGTACCAAGCCACACCTCGATGTAAGGCACAGTATGGAAAGGAGACGTCTGGCCCCTGAAGCCCAAGAACCCCCTGAACCCCCGTATGTCAGCCTAGCTGTGTCTGTCATCCTAAAGTGAGATCTGGGAGCCTAAGACTTCAAATAGGTGGATGTTCGCTTGTTTGTCTTTTCACAATGGGTTTTCTTCCTCTTCCCTAGGTGGCAAACTGGAGTATTCAGAGCCTGGGCCTGTCTCTCTATGCAGACTGCCTGGTCGGCACCTACAGTGGAGGCAACAAGCGGAAACTCTCCACAGCCATCGCATTAATGGGCTGCCCACCTCTGGTGCTGCTGGTGAGGGTCACCAGGACTCGTGGGGATAGATGGTCCTAAGGGCTTGAACCAAGAGCTGCACCTCTGTGATTAGGCCAGCAGATTTAGAAAATACAGTGATCTGTTTTCATCTAGACTGTTTCCTGTACTGCTTGTTTTGAGCACATCAAGCCAGTGTTTGGTTCACAACTCTTGGGGAAAACAGGAGTCATAACATATTCTCACTCTGAGCCCCTGGGAGGTGTCTTGTGGGCCCACAGGCTCATAGCAGGGAAGTTCAGCCCCTCTGGTCAGAAATTACTACTGCTGGAGGACATCTTTTCGGGATGCAGAGTGGGCAAGAACACTGGCATGGATCAAAGGCTCGTGTGATTCTCACTGGAGCTGCACCACACCCAAGGCCCTTGTGCCTGTGCAGTCAGGGATTTATGAGGACATGGGCTGCAGGGCTGGAAGGTGACTCATACAGTCACCTGGGCTATGTCTCTGCCTCTTGCAAGTGTATGTATAAGGTTGCTGTTTTTTTAATTTTTGAGATAATTCTGCCATTGTCTTAATCTTAACCCATTCGTGGGCTGAAGGGGGTCAATGGATATGCATAATGTCTCTTTACTCTCCTGGTTGATCCCCTGCTTTCCCTACCTGAAGCCCGGGTTCCCCAAATCTTGCCCACTTGGGGAGGCACTTTGTGTATTGTCTGCAGAGAGCAGAACTGCTTAGAGGGGGGCAGCCAAGGAGGGTACAATAACCAGGAGAGGCAGGCTCCAAGCCTAGCTCCCTCCCCTCTCTGCCTCCCCACAGGATGAACCCACCACGGGCATGGACCCCCAGGCACGCCGCATGTTGTGGAACACCATTGTGAGCATCATCAGAGAAGGGAGAGCTGTGGTCCTCACATCCCACAGGCAAGAGATTCCCGGGGGCTGGGACAGAACAGGTGGGCAGACTGGAAGGCTCCCCCCACCCCGCCCCTGCTTACTTCCTCTCTCCTGCCCCACAGCATGGAAGAATGTGAGGCTCTGTGTACCCGGCTGGCCATCATGGTAAAGGGCACCTTTCAGTGTCTGGGCACCATTCAGCACCTCAAGTGCAAGTAAGGATATATGCTGGGGGTCACCTTTGTTACCTTCTTTGATGATAGAGGCGGTCAACAAGGCCCTGTGCTCTCTACTGACACTTGGGAGGGTCCTGCTACCCTTATCACATGGGCAGAAGCATGTGGGTCTGGGCCTTGTTCCACAATAGCAGACAGAAGAAGCTGCTGTGCTGAAAGAAACTTCTCTAGGTTGGGCTAATTGCCTACGGTTGAGGAATTCCTGAGTCTTCAGATGGGGTTCTGATTGGGCCTGGGATGAGGAGGGGTCACTACCACAGCCTCATTATGCCACCACTTATCCCAACAGATCCAGCACCTATGGCCTATTTAATAAGAACCCATGACCAAGGGCACCTGGGTGGCTCAGTGGGTTAAAGCCTCTGCCTTCGGCTCAGGTCATGATCCCAGGGTCCTGGGATCAAGCCCCGCATCGGGCTCTCTGCTCAGCAGGGAGTCTGCTTCTCCCTCTCTCTCTCTGCCTACTTGTGATCTCTCTCTCTCTGTGTCAAATAAATAAATAAAATCTTAAAAAAAAAAAAAAGAATCCATGACCAAAATAGGGATCATTAGGAGACCAAATAGCCCGAGAATCAGTTTTCCTTTAAGACATGTTTATGCTTTTGAGTTTGAGAAGTGACCATGAAGTATATGTCAACCAAAAATGCCAGTGTTCTTCGGTAGGATTGCCCTGTCCCCATAAATTGTAAACTGTCATAAACAATGCATTATTTATAATAGTTTATGTCCCAAAACCACAATTAATCAGCTAAAATAAGGTTATGATAATAATGCCATGCTTCCTTGCATTCTGATACACTTGATAAACTAGGAAAGGTGGATTTGTAGTTACTACTCAGTTATTTAACAAACACTTTTTAAGAGCCCAGAATATAAAAGTCGCTGTGCTCATTGGTAAAAAGAACAGTACATAACCTACCTTATCCAGGCCAAAATGCTTAGTCTTGTACCCATGGAACTGTTGCCCACGACACATCATCCTTCATATGCATCAGGGCAGATGAGTGATCGAGAGGAAGGTCTAGTAGGTTAGCAGCATTTGGGTCACGCTGCACAAATATCTAGGGGGACTGACATCCACCTCAGCATACAAGGTCGCCAGAGCCATAGCAGAGCTTCCTGGGTCCAACGGCAGGAGACATGGATGGATTCCCCATTGTTTTCCCTCTGATCAGTATCTTCATGGTAGAGAAGAGAATATCTCCCATGTGGAGGGGCAGTTTTCCAGAGCTGCAAGGAAAGATATTTTATTGTAGAGGGGAACAACCCTTGGTCATAGAGAGAGCATTGAGGTAAATTATAACTGACACAGAAGGGAGAAGAGTTGAGTGTCCTGACCCTAGCAGCTCCCACTTGTTCTGGAAGTTTCCACAGGGAAGTGCTACTTCTCAAGTCTTTGTGCCCTCCTGGGGGTCTCTTTGAAGAAGGAGGCAGCCTTTCCATTACTGAGTAAATACTAGTTCCAGAGGCCTTTGTGGGCAGGTTGTGATCTCCACAAGGGGCTAAATCCACCTTTGACTTCAGCAGGTAAATGGGAGGGAAAGGAGCAGGGAGCATCCATGTCTACAGGAGTTGGACCCAGGAAGCTGTGACACAGGTCTGGTGACTCACTTCACCACACAGACATTTGGACCTCTACAGACTAATACCAGACTATTTTTTCTGGAAACCATCACAGGTTTTTTCCTCCTAGTTTTAAACATGCACACAGGTTCTATAGTATGGGCCTATCATCCTCAATATTTTTGATTAATCTATTCCTTATTTTGGAATTGCCTTAGACCCAGCTACTAACAGGCCCGTGCCGGGCTACCCTGCATGTCGCCTAGGTTTGGAGATGGCTACATTGTCACGATGAAGATCAGATCCCCAAAGGAAGACTTGCTTCCCGACCTGAATCTGGTGGAACAGTTTTTCCAGGGGAACTTCCCAGGCAGCGTGCAGCGGGAGCGCCACTACAACATGCTCCAGTTCCAGGTCCCCTCCTCCTCCCTGGCCCGCATCTTCCGGCTGCTCATCTCCCACAAGGACAGCCTGCTCATCGAGGAGTACTCCGTCACGCAGACCACGCTGGACCAGGCAGGTTGCCCGCCGGCCCCGTGTGTGGCAGGGGGCTGCACACAGACTGGGCTGGAATCCACATGAGTGCTGGCGCCACACGCCTTATTTTTCATGCTCTGGTGCCGCCATCCATTAGGGTAAAGCTTGGTAGATCCAAAATTGTTTTCCAACAATATTTTAGTCATCAGCAAATTTCATTGACTTTACATCATCCTTCCCCACTATACTATGATCTTTTTTCATTCTTCCTGGTTGGTGGTAGTGGCTCTTTTTTTTTTTTTTCCTTTTCAAATCAATGTTATCGATGCTTAATTTTCATACAATCAAATACACCCATTCATTTCAGTTCAGGGATTTTTGAAAAGCCTGCGTGCCATGAATCAGGGTATTTAATGTGATCACTATTTTTTCTTATTATGGCGAAGTATATATAACATAAATAACTATTCTTAAGTGTACAATTCAGTGGCATTGAGTATAGTCACATATTGTGAAATGGATCACCTCCATCCATCTCCAGAAATTTTTATCTTCCCAAACTGAAACTGTATATCCATTAGACAAGAATTCCCCATTAACCACCTCCCCCAGGCACTCGTAACTACTGTCCTACTTTCTATTGACTACTCCACATTCCTTATGTAAGTGGAATCATATAGTATTTGTCCTTTTGTGTCTAGCTTATTTCCCTTAACATAATGTCCTCCAGTTCATTAACATTGTAGCATGTGTCAGAATATTCTTGTAAAGGCTGAGTCATATTCCACTATATGTATATATCATGTTTGTTTATCCATTCACCCATTTGGACATTTGAGTTGTTTCTCGGGGGTTACTGTTGTTGCCATTTGGTTTGTTTTGAATAAACATCCTTAAGGCAGCTTAATAAAGCAGTGGAAATAGGCAAGTCCCCATATACCCTTTGAGGAGCTGGCTCACCAGTACCTTCTTGCCAGCAGATGAAGGCTGGAGCAGGAGTCATAGCCATACCACACATTGAATAAAGAACAGAAAAGAAGGGAGATCGGACTCCTGCTTCTGTTTTTGCTTTTTTGTTTTCAGTTTCTTTACAGGTTTAGGAGGATGCTGCTAGCTGAGAATCTGCCTGGAGTCCTTTGAATCTTCCCGTGGGAATTCCTTTGGCTCAGCGCAGAATTCTAAGAAACAAGCCTATCCCGGGCATGGGTGGCTTTGTGGGTGGGCCACCCTCCCCTCCTGCAGGACACAGTGGCTCTAGCAGGGCCATACATTAACTGTAGAAGACAGACAGAAAGTGGGTGGGTGGATGGGTCAAGGATACCATTTTTCTGGGAACATCTACCTACTCTTGCTCTCCTACTCTTGTCTCCAGGTATTTGTGAATTTTGCTAAACAGCAGACTGAAATTCATGACCTCCCTTTGCATCCTCGAGCCGCTGGAGCCAGCCGACAAGCCAAGGTACTCCTGCTCCTCTTTCACAGTCCACTGTCTGAGGTGGATCCTCAGCTCAGGGACTGGTACGTTGGGTCTGAGGGACCCCAAGGTCCAGATATGCCACCCACAGAGAGTCCCCCCCATACCACATCCCCACCACATTCCTGCTGCTCCCCACCACTTCTGTGCTGAGGGACTGTTCAGTCAGTGGTTGTGGAGGTTCCTTTCATAATCAAGAAGCCATCTAGGTGGTGTGGGAGGGCATTTTTGAGAACTTTCCCACATGCTTTTCTTATAGTGAAAAGACTTGGTTTTAGAAATATGAAGCAGGGGGGCCCTTGGGTGGCTCAGTGGGTTAAAGCCTCTGCCTTTGGCTCAGGTTGTGATCCCAGGGTCCTGGGATCGAGCCCCACATCGGGCTCTCTGCTCAGTGGGAAGCCTGCTTCCTCCACTCTCTCTCTCTCTCTGCCTACCTCTCTGCCTACTTGTGATATCTGTCTGTCAAATAAATAAATAAAATCTTTTAAAAAAAGAGGTTTAGAAATATGAAGCAGGAAAAATAGGAGAGAGTATTACAATGTTTGGGTTGTTAGGATAATTGACATTTATGTTTTTGGTCGTATATTTGAGTTTAAAGGAAGGAGATTAACTGGCACTTCATTTCAATGGTGGACATATTTGGTTAGAGAAAAGATTACTGTCTGTTTTAGGAAGAGGTCTTGTTGTTCTGTATAAAAATATCAAGGGGTACCTGGCTGACTCAGTTGGTGGAGCATTCTATTCTTGATCGTGGGGTTGTGAGTTCAAGCCCCACACTGGATATAGAGATTACTTTAAAAATTAATTAATTTTAAAAAATCTCAAGGTGATCCTCCTTTTCCCGGGCTGCTTTCGAGGGAGAGGAGATGCAACATGGGGGGTTAAGGGGGTAGGAGAAGAGTAAATGAAACAAGATGGGATTGGGAGGGAGACAAACCATAAGTGACTCTTAATCTCACAAAACAAACTGAGGGTTAATGGGGGGGTGTGGGGGGTGGGATTATGGACATTGGGGAGGGTATGTGCTATGGTGAGTGCTGTGAAGTGTGTAAACCGGGAAATTCAAAACCCTTAACCCCGGGGGAAAAAAAAAATTTTATTTTTTAAAAAAAAAAAATTTAAAAAAAAAAAAAAAATCTCAAGGTGATGAAGGAAGAAGAGGCCTGCAATAAGAAATGTGTATCCTGGCCTGTGATAACTCTTGGGATAGGTGCTTCCAGGATCAGTCCCTGGCATTGTGCTCCATGTAAGGAGCATGTCTACCCCACCCCAGTTCCCCAGACAGCACTAGAGAAAAGCACTGGAAGAAGCACTGTCTGAGCACCTTGGCTTATACCAGGGAATTTTTTTTAAAATTTGTAAGTAGGCTTCAGGACCAATGTGGGCTTGAACTCATGACCCTGAGATTGAGGGTCACATGCTCTACTAACTGAACCAGCCAGGTGCCAAAGTTTGGGATTTTAAAGGGACAGATTAATTCAGCTATTCTGTCCAAAATTGCCTAGAGAATAAAATCAAAGCATTTCTCCAATAAGCATTAATGTACAAAATCTTACTTCCTAGCAAATTCTCATTCCTCCCACCAGTTTCTTTTTTTTTCTCAGTTTCAATGTTTTACCCCATTTTATTTTTTAAATAAGTTTGAGACCTGTTAAGTATTTGACTTATATTTTTTATTCAACGAAAGAACTAAACATTTATGGGCTTTTTGTGCACTTCTTAAAATTGTATAACCTTATTTCTGAACTTACTCCCTAAGAAGTTTTAGTTTTGTTTTGTTTTTTATTTTTTTAATTTATTTTCAGCGTAACAGTATTCATTGTTTTTGCACCACACCCAGTGCTCCATGCAATCTGTGCCCTCTCCAATACCCACCACCTGGTTCCCCCAACCTCCCACTCCCCGCCCCTTCAAAACCCTCAGATTGTTTTTCAGAATCCATAGTCTCTCATGGTTCCCCTCCCCTTCCAATTTCCCTCAACTCCCTTCTCCTCTCTAACTCCGCTTGTCCTCCATGCTATTTGTTATGCTCCACAAATAAGTGAAACCACATGATAATTGACTCTCTCTGCTTGACTTATTTCACTCAGCATAATCTCTTCCAGTCCCGTCCATGTTGCTACAAAAGTTGGGTATTCATCCTTTCTGATGGAGACATAATACTCCATAGTGTATATGGACCACATCTTCCTTATCCATTCGTCCGTTGAAGGACATCTTGGTTCTTTCCACAGTTTGGCGACCGTGGCCATTGCTGCTATAAACATTGGGGTACAGATGACCCTTCTTTTCACTACATCTGTATCTTTGGGGTAAATACCCAGTAGTGCAATTGCAGGATCATAGGGAAGCTCTATTTTTAATTTCTTGAGGAATCTCCACACTGTTCTCCAAAGTGGCTGCACCAACTTGCATTCCCACCAAGAGTGTAAGAGGGTTCCCCTTTCTCCACATCCCCTCCAACACATGTTGTTTCCTGTCTTGCTAATTTTGGCCATTCTAAGTGGTGTAAGGTGGTATCTCAATGTGGTTTTAATTTGAATCTCCCTGATGGCTAGTGATGATGAACATTTTTTCATGTGTCTGATAGCCATTTGTATGTCTTCATTGGAGACGTGTCTGTTCATATCTTCTGCCCATTTTTTGATATGATTGTCTGTTTTGTGTGTGTTGAGTTTGAGGAGTTCTTAATAGATCCTGGATATCAACCTTTTGTCTGTACTGTCATTTGCAAATATCTTCTCCCATTCCGTGGGTTGCCTCTTTGTTTTGTTGACTGTTTCCTTTGCTGTGCAGAAGCTTTTGATTTTGATGAAGTCCCAAAAGTTCATTTTCGCTTTTGTTTCCTTTGCCTTTGGAGACATATCTTGAAAGAAGTTGCTGTGGCTGTTATCGAAGAGGTTACTGCCTATATTCTCCTCTAGGATTCTGATGGATTCCTGTCTCACGTTGAGGTCTTTTATCCATTTTGAGTTTATCTTTGTGTATGATGTAAGAGAATGGTCGAGTTTCATTCTTCTACATATAGCTGTCCAGTTTTCCCAGCACCATTTATTGAAGAGACTGTCTTTTTTCCACTGTATATTCTTTCCTGTTTTGTTGAAGATTATTTGACCATAGAGTTGAGGGTCCATATCTGGGCTCTCTACTCTGTTCCACTGGTCTATGTGTCTGTTTTTATGCCAGTACCATGCTCTCTTGGTGATCACAGCTTTATAGTAAAGCTTGAAATCAGGTAACATGATGCCCCCAGTTTTATTTTTGTTTTTCAGCATTTCCTTAGCGATTCGGGGTCTCTTCTGATTCCATACAAATTTTTGGATTATTTGCTCCAGCTCCTTGAAAAATACCGGTGGAATTTTGATCGGAATGGCATTAAAAGTATAGATCCTAAGAAGTTTTAAGTGATCTCTTATCTACACTTGATATTATTAAATCACCCAACTTCACATTTAGACATTTCTAAACCAAAGAATTCATAGGACAAGTTTTCAATTTCAACACGTATAGGTATACATGCCATATGGTGATTTGTTCCAGAATAAAGTTATAATAAAGGACTCTACTCCTAGATTCTAGATTACATCAGTGATATATAATAATATATGTTCTATTTATACTCAAGGTAGATACTTACATTCTTCTAGTAAGTGTGGAAAAGTTTAAAATAATCTATTTGGAATAATGGAATTCAAATTCTATTTTTGAAGCATAAAGACAACATTGGAACTTTGCCCAAAAGAGGTAGATGGTAATGATTGTAAATAGAAGTTATGAAATGTAAATAAGTAAACATCCGAAGTTATCTACCTCTGAAAAACATGATGAACAGACTTTTGGCCAGTGCTAATTTGTCTTACTATATCAGTTCAGGTTTTATTAAAACTCTGTTGTCTCTTCAAGGGTGAACCTAAGTGTTCTATAGAATAGTGAAGCCTTATTCAGGATACTATTTACTCATGAATCACCACGTACTAGCTGCACTGCTTTGACAATGCAGAACCTAAAGTATCTTTTCCAAATAGCTTAGCAAAAGGTATCTTCCTTTATATATAGCAGTGAGACTTGTTTTGTATAATTGCTCCTTAGTATAATCACATTTGAAAACTTAAATGTACTCTACTATTTTAGATATGTTCCTTTATAGCTGAACCTCCCACCAGTTTCTTAATTGCAAAAAAACCCACAAATCTTACCACTGGTTGAAACACTCCTTTTCAAGGCCATGCTTGCAATGAATTTTTCCCCTTCTTCTTGACCAGTAGAGATCTAAAAGCTACTTGGCAAGGTTAACCTTGCATCCCATCTCCCTAGAGGACCCAGAAATGCCTAAGCAAAGGCACCTGTCCAGAGAATGATAGTTCTGCTAAGATTTTCTAGGCACTCTTCCTCATTTACAAATCTGATACTTAGTGTTTACACCTCTAGAAAATTATTCTTTGAAAGCCATTTGCAGTTATGAGCCTCTTTTATAACTCACTGGGTAGCAAAAGTGTTTCCTAGAACTAACAGTGGTCTCCCTACCCAAACCTGGTATATTCTCTCTCAGAGGGCTAACACCAAGTCATCTCTGATCCAGGTAAGGGGCATTGATGGCCTGTGATCTGTAGCATTAAATTCCAAACTTTTCCCCCTTATTGGATGTGACCATTTTTCTATATTGTTTGTCACATTTTAGTATAAAAATATTACAATAGAAAACCTACTGCAACACCTTTATTAAATTGGTATATTTTTACAATAAAATAGTGATTCAAACCCTAACTCTGACTTAATGACATACTACCTTTACAAAGGCTAGAGAGAATTCTCTTGTATAATGTTGTATGTAAATAAATGTCATGAAACAAATAGTAATTACAGTCTTGTTTACATTATACCACTTTAAAATAATTTCCCCTAATGTCAACAAGAAAAAGGTTGTTTCTCTCAGTAACTTATAGAAAACATTCACAGCCTGCCTCCAAATACATGTGACAGTGCAGCTACAGGAAATTCAGCCTCTGGTGGCTTTCCAGCCCCACTCGTGAGTGAAGGCTACCACCGGCATTTCATTATCTAGAGAGCAGGGTGTCTGGTTAGCAAGAATGCTTTGAATTCTTGAGGGACTCAGAACTGGAAAATATCCTTTGGGATGAGGTTTGTGAAATGTCACAATCTTTTATGGAAACGAGTGAGGGTCAAGGTTTCAATAGATAACTAGGTGATAGATGATCAGTCAACTTAGAAACATCCTAAATGGGCTTATAAATTAGTGACCATCATGTTTGTTTTCCAGAAGCAGGAACAACTCAGATAAGTTTCTGGTCCTTAGCCTTTTTTTGACTACAATTTTATTATTTTTTAAGATTTTATTTATTTATTTGAAAGAAAGAGAGAGAGACAGAGTGAGAGAGCAGATCAGAGGGAGAAGCAGACTCCTCATTGGGGCTGGGACCCTGATGTGGGACTCGATCCCAGGACTTCAGGTTCATGACCTGAGCCAAAGTCAGTCGCTTAACCAACTGAGCCACCCAGGCGCCCCTGCAATTTTATTTTTTAATTTAAGTGTCATTAACATGCTGTATTATATTAGTTTCAAGTATACAACATAAATTATTGTAAAAATGTAGTGATTTGGCAATTATATGCATTACCAAATGCATATAATTGCCATACCATAGTCACCATACAACATTGTTACAATATTACTGATTATATTCCTTATGTTATACTTCTCATCCCTATGATTTATTTATTTTACAACTGGAAGTTTGTATGTCTTTATCTCCTTTACCCATTTCATCCATCCTCCCACCCCTCCCCCTCTGGCAGCCACCAGGTTATTCTCTGAATTTATGAGTCTGTTTCTGGCTTGTTTATATGTTTTGATTTTTAGATTCCACATATAAATGAAATCACATGGCATTTGTCTTTTTGTCTGACTTACTTCACTTAGCATAATACCCTCTGTGTCCATCCACGTTGTCTTGAATGGCAGAATTTCATTCTTTTATGACTGAATAATATTGCATTGTATATATGTGTCACATCTTTTTTTCTTTAGTTTTTTTATTTGGGTATAGTTGACACACAGTGTTACATTAGTTTTAGGTGTACAATATAATAATTCAGCTTCCCTATACTTTATGCTATGCTCACCACAGTACACCACATCTTTATCCATTCATCTATCAGTGGACACTTGGGTTGCTTCCATATCTCGGCTATTGTAAATAATGCTGCAAAAAAAAAAAAAATAGAATGCATGCATCCCTTTGAATTAGTGTTTTTGTTTTCTTTGGGTAAATACCCAGAAGTAGAATTACTGGATCAAATGGTATTCCTGTTTTCTACAGTGTTTTCCAGAGTGGTTGCACCAATTTCTATTCCCCTAGAACAGTGCACGAGGCTTCCATTTTCCCCACATCCTCACCAACACTTATTGTTTCTTGTCTTTTTGATACTATCCATTTTGACTAGTGTGAGGTGATATCTCATCGTGGGTTCAGTTCGCATTTCCCTCATTATTAGTGATGTTGAGCATTTTTCATGTTTCTGCTAGCCATTTTTTGGGAAAAATATCTATTCAGTACTCTGCGTATTTTTATTTTATTAATTTATTTTAATCCATTATTATTATTATTATTATTATTATTAAGTAGGCTCCATGCCCATTGTGGAGCCCAATGTGGTGCTTAAATTCACAACACTGAGATCAAGACCTCAACTGAGACCAAGGGTTGGAGTTTAACCGACTGAGCCACCCAGGCACCACCCCAGCCTGTTTTTGAATTGGATTTTTGGGGATTTTTGGTGTTGAGCCTGATTCTTATTTATTGTTAAAGAGTTTCCATGTATGATTTATAGCCTTATCAATCAATGCATTTCTGAAGTACCTGTAGTCTTGCCTGGGATCTTTGCCCCACCTCAAAGCATGTTCTTAGCCCTTAACACTAGGTTAATCGTCTTCTCAAGAGCTTGTGTGATTTTTAAGCTAGATAATTGATAAACCACATTTTGTCTGGATGTAGGCAGACCTACATTTAACCCCCCTTGCTGACACTCTTTCAATCCCCCACAACTGGTATAGGAATTCAGCCTTCTAACTGGAGACCTTGTCTCTCTAGTTAGAAAGGTGTCCCCTTCCTCAGGAGCTGGATATAATGCTTGAGTTTTTATCTGGAGCCTGCTGTCCTAAACCCTAGCTCCAATTTCTCCCACCCTTCCATGCCCCCATCAGATTTTCATGCTTCCCAGGAGCCACCTCTTTGGAAAATACACAAAGGGAATTCTGTACCTCGTGAATGACCTAAATTATGACTTCTTGGCTTATAAGACAGGAAGAGTATGGTAACATTTTTAGGCTAAAAAACAAACCAAAAGATACCATGACAGCCTTTGGGAACTGCACGGAGAGCATAGAGTCCCTCGAAGAGACAAGCATGTGCACCCAGACGGCATGAGCTTTCATAATGTCTACACCTAAGAGGTCATCTGGTCCAAACTTTTCGCATTCCAAACAAGCATAGCCCGTGGCCTTGGTGATCTGACCAACTCCCAGGATGCTCCATTGAGCTTCCTTCAGCAATTGACAGCTGTTTAACTTTGAAAATTTAAAAGCTGATATGCCATCTCTTCACAAAACCAAGATGACAAGAGTCCATCTGATCTCCTTCCACAGGTCTGATCTCCATACTACTCATTCCGTAGAGCTGGAGAGAAATTCTGGACAGCTGGAAAGGCAGGAGCCTTTGCCATATGGTCATCTGATTGGACCGGCTCAGCCGCAGAAACAAACCCAAGCAGGCCATACCGCAAACTCTGAAGGGGACTCTTGCCAAGAGCAACCACAGCTGACCTCCTCACCTGAAACACCTGATGAGGAAACTGACCCAGTCAAACGAATGCAAAAACCCTTCTTATCTGGCCCATCCTATTAGTAGCTCTGACTCCATATCACACTCACTTGCAGTGGATCTGCTGTCCTGTGTGTGTGTGTGTGTGTGTGTGTGTGTGTGTGTGTTATTTTTAAGGAGAAAATAAAGTACAAATGTACTTATCACAGACCGTTTGAATCCCCTCATCTCCATGGTGTGCCCCATCTGGTATTTAGACATCCTTTGTGTGGGTGTAGCTTCCTGTCATGGCATGAGCTTCTGTGAGCGCTGCTGCCACAGAAGTGCTAGTCATGGCAAGGTTCTGCAATGCTGGGGTGGATGTGAATGGACTGGTCTTGATGTTCCATGTCAAGTCTGCTTTGTAGGGTTTGAAGAAAACACCCAACTGGCAATGCACGTAAACATTATCCATTGTCAAAGGGTATTAGCCAAATCTAGGTTTCATGGCTGTTTGCCCAGCTTATTTGAGTGCCTACCTCATAGGTATAATTAGGACAGGAGACAAAGAGGTAAGGACAAGTGAGAGTGGGTACTTGGTTGGACATGATATCCAACTTGTCTCTGTAACTGTTTACAGATGTCATATAATACTGTGCCATTTCCACGGTGCTGACGTGTGCATCTTCTGCAGGGGTGTCAGGGAGTAGTGGCTCATGGGACATCTAATTATTTGCAGAAAAGCTCATGAAGAATCAGAACATAATCATTTTAAACCAAATGATTTTGGGGACACCTGTGTGAGGGAGGGGGCATAAGCACTCATTCGTGGTGGGCTTTGGTGGTTTTAGGAAGGCTTCTAGGACTGGAAAGAGTCAGGTATGGGGAAAATCCCACACTGCCTCGGGAAGGGAAGCTCACTTTAGCTGTCTGTCTCTACCACACCTGAGCTCTCCATTGACAATGTCTGGGTCATTTCTGACATTTTCCCCAGCTCCTGACACACAAGAAACACTCAACAATTACTTGCCAAACTGAACACTATAAAAACCCAGCAAAGAAAAGTATACGGAAAAGAAGTAGGTCCAGGAAAATGATACCTCAAAAAGCTAAAGATAGCAGCAAAGGGTGGGTAGAGCAACAGGGATGCCATGCTTTTAAAAAAATACCAATCACAAAACACAAGCAGGAAAAAAAATCAAGGAGGAGGAGGCATGTCCACACTTCATTTGGGTTTGAGGAGAATTCACGTTGGCAGTGTGGCTCAAATCTCCTGAGAACATGTTACTCTACTGAAAGGTCTCCTAGTCTGGTTGAATAAGGGAGATTTACCAAGAAGAAGAAGAGAAAATGGAGAGTCAGTTCAGAAAACAAGACCACTCAGGAGATATTCCAGGAATATGACTTGTCAGATCTTCCCAGGTTCCAATTCTTTGGGGAGCTTTGGAATAGTGGGAATCTAAAAAGAATCTCTTTCACTGTGAGTAAAAGACTCATGGAAACCTTCATTTGTGCCTGCTATTATGACTCTCCTAAAGAGACAGTAAGGTGAAAGTGGGGCAGACGACAAGCTTTGGATTTGAAAGATTCTTTGTGACACCCTGGGTACTTGCCCAGAGAGCAGTAAAGACAGAGTTCTGTCCCAGCAGGGCTGCAAAGCTTAAAGAGAAAAGAAGATGTTCCCTAGAAATATGACATTGTCACCTGGGTGGGACAGCTGTTTCAGGCACCAGAAAGACTTAGCCCACAGGCCTCAAGCTATGTGAGACTTGGTTTCCTCAATGTGGTAATTCAGTGCCTCAGCAGATCCTGAGATAATAGTTTATGACTCCTGATATTCACAGGGCAGAATTACAACATTTTGTCCAAGGTGGTTGTCAAGTTGGGGAAAGTTAGGTACTAGAAGTTTCAGATTCATAGAACCACAGGTTGGTAGAACTACAGAATACCTCTGTGCACAAAAACTAAGCCCTATCTAATTGTTCTGTTTTGTACTGTTTTATTGAGAAAGGAAACCAAATCCAAAAGATTAAATTACTTGGCGGGCCCTGCAGCTTCCCCATAGGCCCCACTCTGGTCCTTCTCCAGTTAGTTCACACCCATGTCTAATGAGACAAAGTCTGCTTATAGGGCCTGTGTGGACCTCTTTCCTGGGTCATAGGTAATCCTTGATCATGTGGGCTCATGTCTGTACATGGCACATGAGGCCTCTTAGGAAAGCAAGAAAGGGAGGTGAGCCATGGGGCAGCTGGCTCTGTGGCAGCATAGCCCAGTGGGGAGCTCCATGGAAACCAACAAGTCAGAATTTGAATCTGCATCATCATGAAGGTCACTATTTAGTAGTTTGTTAGCTTCACTGATATACTTAAAGAACTGAGATATATATATGGCATGAGGTCTCCTAAAATGTCCTCTCCTTGGAGCCTTTCCCAGAGTTCACCATGACACACACTCAGCTTTCTGGGCTGGTGCCTGATATTAGGGTTCCCATCTTGTGGGGCTTTGCCTAAACTCTTGATCTTATACATTTGTAACATTCGTAAGGAATCACATCTTACTGTCACCAAATCCCATAGTCTTGGGTCATGGTGAGTTTCAGGAAGCACGTTTCATCTTCAAAGCCCAGCACAGAAAGCACCTGGTCAGACAGCATTCGGGGCACCCAGCTGGGTAGCGGTGCTCTGTTTGTTTTCCACCAGAGCCTGGCATTCTCTTTGTTCTTGAATGATACTGACTGCTGCCAGAGAGGCAAAGGGGTAACAGAGAAGAGAAAGAGGAAAGTGGGGGCAGAAGAGGAACAGAAAAAATGTATTGGTCCTTTTTCTGGGAATTAAGTTGCAGAGAAGACACAGCCTCTCTCTCCATGGTGTTAACATTCTCAAGCAGGGATCAGCACACTTGCTGTAAAGATAGTCGACATTTTCCACTTTACATGTCATACAGTCTTATACAAGTTGAAACCCTCAGCGTGGCCTTTGTGGCACAGAAGCTGCCCTAGATAGGACCTAACGGAATGGCTGAGGCTGTTTTGGCCACAGGCCATACTGTCCCACTCATTCCAGTGAGTAAGCAGAGTTAGGGTTAGAGGGATGGCAAAAGCACCTCGGGACACCTATTAGGGACCCCAACCCCCTGTCGCCTTTTTCCCCCGCAAACTGAGCAAAGATGATTCTTAGGATGGAGAATGGGGATGATTTTTGAGCTCAGAAACTATCATCTTAGATCTCCAGTCTTGACTGATGCTCCAAAATGCAAGATAATCCTTATCGCTAACGACCAACAGCCGCCGGCCTACCGGAAGGTGTTGCTGCATTTGGCTTCTCACCGGCTCACATCCACTGCATCTCACGCAACAAGATATCAATTCCCGCATAAAGCAGCATCTAAGGGACCAGCTCCAAATATCCATGTTCGTCTCCTCAGCTGATGAAGAAGCTCTACGGAAACAAAATCGCATGGTCAACCAATTGACGATTTTTTAAATTTGAGCTCTCAGGCAAAAATGTCAGGGAAGAGCCAGGAAATCTGCACATATTTTTAGTTCCCTCTTTGGAGCAAGTTTCCCTTTCTTGGAGTACCCCGTGCTGTTTGCCACTATAAAGCTAAAAGCCTTGAGAACTACAGAATGCTAAGCAATTATAAGGTAACGTTATACTTGTTTGAAATTTTCATTATCATCACTTGCTGAGATTCTGACCTGATGTGTTTTCCTCTACTATAGGCATGACTTTTCTCCCCATCCTGAGGCTCAAAATCTCAGAGTCACGCTCCTCCTCCTCCCGCTTCACACTCTGCATTTGGCCAGGTGCCAAGATGCAGCATCCAACGTCACGAAGTCATTCCTGGTTGTCCCTCTTGTTTTGCTTTTATCACTGCCCCTTCTCCACTACCTTTACTACCTTTCCCCTGGGCGATGTTCCAGCTTCTAACTGGGCTGGACTGTCTTCTCTCCCACCCATTGATTCTGTACTCTGCTTCCTAAAATTGAGCTCTTGAATTCTTCAGTAATCATTACTGAGCAGCTATGTTGAAAGAGGCACTGTGCTAATTACTGGGAAACAAGAACAAAGCTTCAGCACCCCTCTGGTTGGGAAGTTGCCCCAGAAATAGATCAGTTCAATGCAGTAGGGAAAGAATGCCATAGACTGTATGTTTATTTCCCCTCAAACTTCATGGGATGAAATCTAACCCCCAATGAGATAGTATTTGGAGGTGGTGGGGCCTTTGGGAGGTGATTAGATCATGGAGGTAGAACCCTCATGAATGGGATTAGTGCCCTTATAAAAGAGACCCTGGAGAGCACCCCCTGCCCTTCCTGCTATGTATGGTTACAGGAAAAAGGCAGCAGTCTATGAACCAGGAAGCGGGCCTTCACCAGACACCATATCTGCCAGCACCTTGATCTTGGACTTCTAGCCTCCAAACTGTGAGAAATAAATTTCTGCTGTTGATAAGCTACCCTAGTCTATGGTAAGCGATGGGAGCAGTCTGAATAGACTGAGACAGAGGGAAGAGAGAAAGAGAGAGAGGATATGAATGAATGACTTATAGGAGCCCAGAGAAAGCCCATTCAGTCCTGACAGGCAGAAAGTAGAAAGGATTAGGGAAGTCTTCCCAAAAGGATCACTCACCTACTGAAATTTTCAGTGATTTTCATATCCCTCAGAGTACTGTTCAAAACCTTCACCTTGGCATTAATAGCCTTTCATTTGTCCCCAGTTTACCCTTTCAGCTTTTTTTCTTGTCGGTCCCCATTACGTATGTATAATCCAGCCAAACCAAATCCCTCCAAGGTCTTCATTTTCCTATCTCTTTTTGTTTAATCATTTTCTTCCCTCCTAGTATCCAGATATAAGGAACTCCTAGGATTCAATAAGAAAAGACAAACAGCCCAAAGGAAGAATGAACAAGGAATATGAATAGGCACTTCTCAGAAGAGGAAACTCAAATTGTCACTAAACATATGAAAAGATGCTTAATCTCACTAGGAATCAAGGAAATAGAAACCCACAAAACAGGATACTACTCCACACCTATCAGGCTGGCAAAAATTAGAAAGTCGAGTAATACTGCTTTAAGTCGGCTTGGGCTGCTGTAATGTAGTACCATACTCTGGATAGCTTATGACCAACAGAAACATATTTCTCATGGTTCCAGAGACGAAGTCAGGGTGCCAACCGGATCGGGCTCCGGTGAGAGCAGCCTTCTGAGTTAGATTGCCGAC